AAAAATGCATTCTTCACATTAGTGTTATTGTTAACAAAACATCTTAATGCTCCTAAAATAAGCTCCATTTTTATCAATTTAAACAATAATTACATTTCAAAAATGTAAACTTTACATTGTGACATTATTTTCATAACAATTCAGCAAAACACCCTCATTTTCATTACTCTACTGTGAAATATATATATATATATATATATATATATATGAAGAGTTCAGATGCAAAAGCCTCTAAATGCCATCTGAAATTTTCTTCTAAAATGATCATTTTTATCAAGCTCGTATATTTAAGTTAAATAATTTCACTTAAATGGCAAGAACAAATACCCATTTATTGTCATTTAAGTGAAATTACTGAATTTAAATATACGAGCTTGATAAAAATGATCATTTTAGAAGAAAATTTCAGATGGCATTTAGAGGCTTTTGCATCTGAACTATTCATATATATATATATATATATATATGGGAATTATATTGCTTCACATTAGTGTTATTTATTAAACTATTAAAAATATTTTTTGTTAATTAAAATAAAGCCAAAATAAAATATAAATATTAGATGAAAAACTTAGAAATGTTGCCTTGGAACAGTTAAAGTTGAAGTCCTAAAATTATTAAAACTTAAATAAAAATAGATTAAAGCTATAATTTGTAACAAAATGAATTTAAAATATTATAATAGTGTATAAATACTACTAAAATAACACTACTTCACATATCTGCTTTTATGGTGCAAGTCTGTGTTTATTTCCACTGTAAGAAAAGAAATCACGCCACAAACTCTTGTATCAAACCCGAAACCTTCATCATCATAATGCATTGATCTGTAATTGAGCATTTAAAGTAACACCAGGGAACTTTTGCTCTCGGGGTGGGGTCCCCCTACAGTTGGGAAACAGTATTGTCCTCTAGACCTCTACTACTGTCGTAAACTCTGTCATCCTACATGCACGTGCAATTGTTGACAACCATGATAGCCCTGAACACTGTAGGAGGAGGTCACATGCAGGTGTTCTGCTTGCGTCGCGTGTGAAATGTCTTCATCCCAGGTACAGTGGCATATATTTCAGCATGTCATATATAATTTCATGGGTTTTATTTTTTTTCTAACGACAAATGATCGCGATGATCACGTTTACAAGCCAGCGTCATTATAGTAGCCTAGTCTATTGGTTACCGTTTTACTGGATCTATATGATACTTCAATGCAATGTTTGAGTGGTTATAATAACCATATATCGTCAATATTATAATATCAAGCTACCATAAATGAATCTGCAAATTTTACAAATCGATTTGCATTATAGCTTGAGGCAAGACAAATAAACAAATATCACAGACATGTTAGGTATCCTAAAATATGATTTTGTACATCTTATATATTTACTTGCAAGAATGTAGCGCCTACCAAACTTGTGCACGCCGTTTAGACACAGGCTTTCATTTGATTTGATTTTTTTGCCAAGTCCGCATCGGTCGGGCACCCCTCCTCCTCCTTCAGCTCACGCCAGCGAGAAAATGCTGGCCCAATGTTGATCCTCGTTCTGCCTTTAACGCGATCACTTTCTCTTTTTCTCTTTTTGCTTTGCTCCGATAAAACCTTTGCTTTCTTGTTTTTCTGTGCTGCTTCGGCCATGACTATAACAGTTGGCTCGCACGTCCGATTTTAAGGAAGTGGCGGTGGTGGTGGAAGTGACGTATATGCCGTAAAGCAGTCGAATTTTGAAGTTCTCTTTGTTCGCCGGTTACTACCCGAAACCCGAAGTTTAAAAGTACGATTAAAAACGCTACAGACCCCGTCAGGCTATGGCAGACGTGTCATTCAACCTATTGTAAGTCGATGTACCTTCACAAGAGACTTGGAAATATATTATGAAGGTTGAAAAGTAACCTAGAGTAACCTTTGCGCCCTTTTTAGAGAAGACCTCAATGGAGCCTTAAAACATAACTACGGGGGTTGGGTGTCGCTGGCGGCGGTGAGGGGGAATCGGATTATTGAATAGAGGAGAGGTGTCGGTGTTTGTGTGGGTAGGGGGGTGGGGATGTCTGTTGGTTGTGCTCACTGGCAGCTGTGGATCAGCCCCCTGACCTAGAGTTTAGAGCAGGTACGGTGACATTTTTTTGACTGACCTAAATGTATTGTTATTAGTACTATTGTTACTATTATTATAGATTTCTAGAGCTAATGCTCCTATTATTGTCATGAATTATCATTATAAATATTATCATTGATACTATCACCACTAATATTAATATATTGCTGTTGTTGTTGTGATTGTTGGGATAATTAATACTTCACTAAAACTGTACTGATACTACCGGACTGTCCCTATCCATACTTGCATCACAGAAAGGATCTCATGTCCCTACATACACCACTTTATCGATGACTGTACTGGGCTGTTTTGTATTTCGTTGTTTTTGTTTTGTTTTTTGTGCTTTTTCTCTCTTATGTATTGTATATGTGTCTCACTACCTTGTATGTATTACTCCTTTGTTAATTTGCAATAATAATAAAAAAAAAAAGAAAAAAAAAAAAAAAAAGAAAAGTAACCTAGTGCTGCTTTAAAACATTGATTACAGAGCTTTTCTTTTTATATGTTGTTTTTGACTATTGCACAATGATGCAAACATGTCCTTTGGCATATTTTTGGAATCATCTAAACCAGATACTAGACCACAGCAGTTACACTCTTTTATTATAGAAATAACCACAAATCAAGTCAAAAGAAAGTGGTTTCAAGGATCATTTCATCCGCTCTTCAGGGATCTCTGCCCTAACATGTGTAGCAAGCTAACAGAGCTCTATCTCCTCATCTGTGAGGAACATGTGTTAACGCTTGTGTACAAGCATGCTCTCACTGCCCATCAATGATATTTACAGCATCGGCAGTAAATCCCCATCGAGAGCACATGAAGTTTGCAGCCCGCAGCTGCTGTTGTGTGGCACAGAAGCTGTTGTAAACCTAACCGACCTCTCAAACGTTAACGATTAGGGACGCAAACCCAACACTGTGAATGTGACGGCGGGCATGTGAGAGAACCACAGGTTAGATCAGTGTTTCTCAACCCTGCTCCCCAACACTGCACATTTTCTTTGTCTCCCTAATCAAACACTCCTGATTCAACTCATCAGCTCATTAGAAGAAACTCCAGGACCTGAAATGGGTGTCAGAAAGAGGAGACTTTCAAGATGTGCAGTGTTGGGGCCGGGTCCTCCAGGACAGGGTTGAGAAACACCGGACTCAACTCTCCTCCGTTGTTAACATTCCAGGAGATCGGTTTCATTTTACTGTGCCATTCTGTACAGGAAATAGGGAAGAATGTGGGCTCGTTTAATTCCTTCAACAATTCAGGTGTTTTCCATGGACACATAATCCTCAGCTCTGTATAGACAAGGAGATAAGAATCTGGGATATTTCAAGTATTTCTTTCATTCTGCCTTAATTAGGAGTGCAAATCCATGATAAAAGACGGTATTCCAGATTTAGTGGCTTTACAAAACACGACCATTCAGGATTAATCTCATTTTTGGGATATAATTTACCCTAAAATCAAACGAAACTTTTTTGCATTGTGATATTATTTTCATGAGAGCATATTTACCCATTCTCAGTACTTTAAACAATATCTAAAATATTATTTAAATTGTATGTATGTCATGGTAATCATTATTGGTACGGAAGCGTATTGCATTCACTTGAAGAAAAAAATCTACTCTGTTTTTCTGAATTAATTATCTCAGAATTACGAGATAATTTTTCATGGAAAAAAAGTTTTTGTGATAATCAATCCATTAATTCAAAAAAAATTCCATGAAAAATGATCTTGTAATTCTGAGATAATTAACTCGTTAATTCAGAAAAACAGAGCAAAAAAATTTTTCCATGAAAAATTATCTCGTAATTCTGAGATAATTAACTCATTAATTCAGAAAAACAGAGTAGATTTTTTTCTTCAAGTGAATGCAATACGCTTCCGTATTATTGTACTGCCTTTAATTTATGTTGAATTAAATCACTGATTTAAGTTGGTCTAAAAAAACCCATTGTATTATATTTTTTACTACTCCATATTTATTTTCTATTTCATAAAAAAATACTATAGAAAGAATTATTACGAATAATAAAAAAATTGGCAAAAAGAAAACAGGTCCAGATTCATTACGGTAATATATTTTTAATTTAACCCTCAGGTACTGTGTGTCTATTTGTTTTTTTGTTTTTCAATGAAATGAATGTACTATATTTAAGTTTGATAATGTTTTTTATTTAATATTTTGTATTCATGGGATTTATGGTTCTAAATTATATTTACGCTGTTTTAATACTCCATTGAATCACTTTTTGAGCATAGATCTGAAAATCACATTTCCAACTTAAACTGTGGTAAATCTTGAATGCTTTAGAGCACAGACTTAAGTTTCATCTCTTTTCAAAGATATCACTTGGCCTAAGTCTTTGAAAAGAGATCAAACTTTGCAGATTATTGCTGAAGTGAAAAAAGTTTTAAAAAGTGAACTTAAAAAAGTTTTTAAAAAAATACGTTTATTGTTATGAAAAATGCACAAAAATACTATTTTTAATTTTTATATGAAATATCTATTTTCAAAAACACATTTTACTTTAAAACTGCAAAAAAAAAATCAAAGCCATAAATCTAGACAAGTTGTGTTCCAAATTTGAGGTTGATATCTCAAAAACTGAGCTTTCAGTCAGATGTTGTTTGGCCGCAGTACCGAACGCTTCCACTAGATCACTTCGTCTCCCATTCATTTCCAATGCGGTTATTTTTGACCACAAGGAGTGACTTTTTTTCAGTTTGCATTATTAATTCTGTTACTCTCCTGTTTATTACTGTGAATCGGCTTTAAAAACAATTTCTATTGTATGCTATAAAAATAAAGGCAATATGACTTGACTTGATTTGCATGAGACATGTTAATTGTGACCTTTACTGTCAGTCCTCTCAGCATAAGGCTGTTGTCTTTCACACAGATGTGAGTGTGTGTGCCAGTAACCCGTGTCAGAACGGTGGCACCTGTGCGGAGGCTCTGAACCAGTACAAGTGCACCTGTCCACACAACTGGAGTGGGAGTCAATGTCAATACCAGACGCAGACAGGTCTGTGTTTCTCTAATCTCTTCTACATGTGCCAATGGCTGAGGCTCGCGCTGAGCTTTTGCAAGTGATTAATGCATTCAAAAACATAGCCTATGTAACACACACCTTCATTAGGTGTCAAATCATGCGGCTTATAGAGGACACATGCTAATTCATGTTAGAAACATGCTAACAACAAGAATTAGAATATAGAAGAGCACTAGAATATTATAAGACTTAGAATATTTCTTGACCCCTAGAGCGATGTATGTCATACACAAGTGCTCTTAACATTACAGGTCATATTACCTACGTACAACTCTTATTATTGAAGTCAAAACTAATGTGTTCTGTTACTTTTTATCTGTTACCGTGCACGGATGGAGAAGAGAATTTTAATTTAGTAGTTTAAAAAAATGTTTAAGCTAATTCATTAAATTGAATTTATAAAAAAAAAACTCAAATATTAATGTGTACATTCATAAAGTAATGCACTACTTTACTCGTTACATCAAAAAAAGTAATCTGATTACATAATGCACGTTACTTGTAATGTGTTACCCCAACAGTGCCCACTAGGTGGTGACTTTTGCAAAAAAAAAAAAAATTTCAGATAATGTAAAAAATACTTTTGCAATTCCAAATGTGCCTGCTAGTGTAGGAGAAATTACACACTTCACCTTTAACCTGTGATCCGGTCCATAAATGAAAGCATGCATGTGAATGTTTGTCTTCATTGCTGTATATGCGGGTCTGAGTGTTTGTGGGAGGTTAAACCTCTTCTTTTCCATTTCCTGCTCTCTCTCTCTCTCTCTCTTTACATCTCCCTCTCTCTCTCTCTCCCCCTCTCTCTCTCTCTCTCAGCCCCTCCGGAGTGGAGTGTTATGAACGACCCGGCCTTCAGCCGCAAGCCTCGCTGTGCGAGAGTGGACCGAGCTCAACACTGCAGCTGTGACGCTGGCTTCCACATGAGCGGCACCTCCGACAACAGCATCTGTCAGGGTAGCTCCAGCATTCATAGCTTCAAACAACCATATACAAGGATTTACATTACATTTAATCATTTGGCAGATGCTTTTATCCAAAGGAACTTACAAATGAGGGACCTCGGCATGCATTAAAGCAGTAAACTTTACTGTAACATGATACAATCTCTGCAAAATATGCTGAATGTATTATTAATAATAATTATAAGATGACACTTTAAAATGTCAGAAGTCAGGGATTCCCAAACTTTTTTGTCAGCTGAACCCCTTTGACCACATATTATTTATATTATTTGAATATTATCACCCTGAGATTTCAAGTTAATATTTCAACACATTCACAGTTCTCTAATGTCAATGAATGGTCACATGACATGCAGGCAAACAAATACTAAGTGTAATACTACACTTAATATTAATGATAATACAATAATACAAATACTACATTTACTAAGTGTTTCTTTTTTATTTAAAAATTTTATGATTTAATTAATTATTATCTTTTTTTAATATTTGGTTTTGTTCTCCTATAATCCACCAGACGGCACAAAACTCATCGCACTTTTCTGAATATCCACGTTTCAGGATGCACATGGAAATCGTGGACAGCAATTCCAAGTCCAAGTTGATTCTGTGCTAATTTTATCAAATATTTAATGTTTTTCTTTTTTTTTTTACAGTGTTATAGATTTATGTAGCAAACGATAATCGCTAAAATAACTGAATATATTTTTAGAAAAGGTCGTGTTAACGATTTTCAGTTTTGTTTAAGGTAATTAAATCAACAGTTTTTCAATAACTGAAGAAAATGTAAAAGTATTTGTGGTAAAAGTGTCCCTGCTGATATTGGGCTGAAATATTGGGCTGATTCAGATGGTCATATAATTTATTAATTTTGGTGTCCACCTTATAGATAATTACCACATTTAATGAAACTAGCATATTTAACAAATATAATATTACAGTTTTTTTCAAATTGCTTACAATTTCTGAAACTATGGCTCAATTTCTTGAAACTCTACACACGAAACCACAAAACACGCACACAACATGCAAAACATCAGACATCTCTAGCAAAAGCAAACACATCAATCCAAACTATTTTAACTCTTCCAAAAATGGTGTTTTTTGCATAGTAACTCTACACACAAACATCAAATGATTAGCCACATACACACCAAACTACACACAAATGTGAAAAATGTAAAACACTACTCTCTTGTGTCTTTTGCTTGTTCAGTGGAGTCTACAGGAGTTTGTCACACATGTATGTGCAAACATAAATTCATGGGGGTAAAAATAATTTCTTTCTTTCTCAAAACTGAGTTTTGATTTCTTTGTGATCAATTTATGATTTATGATCAATAAGTGTTTTCACACATGCCATTGGGTGTAGGCCATCAGTAAATGAGTGTGGCATGTAGAGAACTGTGTTTAGAGGTTTGCAAAAAGTTTGTTTTTCAATTTCAAACTGAGTGTAAAGCGTATAATGTGCTTGCAGTTTTGCAGACTAGGTCTGAAGATTCGGTAGATGAGTGAATGTTTTCACTGAGTGAGCCTCAAGTTCCACTTTTAGTGTGTAAGCAATTTGAAAAAACTCTAATCGTATCATATAATAGTTTATTTTATCACATGGTAACTGTAAATCCAAATTACATTATTATGCCAATATTATTATAGCTTTCAGAATACTTTTTCAGTATTTTTAAAATATACAGTATATTTATTGAACAAAAACAAATTATCAAAATAAACAGAAAATAGTACAAACTTTGCTGAAGTTATTGTTTTGAACAAGTATCAACTTAGATGTTATTACTTTAGCTAACTGTAATTGTATCAGTACTGCGGGGCAAAAGGCCCCCTCGCCACCTCATACATTTATATTATTATTAAACCAAACGCTTTTATGATTTATTTTCCCTCAATATTTGCATCAATGTTCAATATAAACATATTTTTCTGCAATCCTGGAAGTAGTGAAAAGCACATTTTCCATAAGGCATTTTATGTATTTTTTGTCTCGTTTCCTTTCTGTCACTCTCTCCTGTCATTTAATCATATGTTGAGTTATTATGTGTGCATGTGTCCAGATGTGAATGAATGTGAGGTGTATAAGGCTGACCGTGGAGGGCCTCTGTGTGGCCATGCCTGTGTAAACGTCCCGGGATCGTACCACTGTTCCTGTCCCACCGGATACAAGCTGCTCGCTGATGGAAGAAGCTGTGAGGGTGAGTGAGAAACATACACTTACAAACAACGCTTCAGATTAGAAGTGTTTTACAGCCATTGGAAAAAGTTCAACTAAAAATAAACACTGACGTTATTTACTCATCCACATGTCGTTCCAAACCTGAATGAGTTCTTTGCTGAAAGACCCTCTATTCTTAATTGTTTGAATCTGAATCTGAAAATGCAACCGGCAGGACATACTCTGTAGAAGTCATTTGGACACCTTACAAAGACCTCCAGGGGTAAATAAAGCTGGTAGATGAAGACAAATAGTGCGGATGTGGAGGGAAATCGTTTCACTCAGTTTTTGGCTGGTGAGTTGGAGGAACGTTTGGAGAGCAAAGGTGAGGGAGTTCTTCTGGCTGGTGTTTGATATGAATCAATCCTGCAAACGATTTCAGCTCTTGGGTCTGTGTTGTCAGCAGGGCTTGTATGGAGCTAGAATTGTGTCTTTATTACATGCGAGAAAATAAATGATCTTTTGATTTAGATAGTTTCACTCCTTATTTAGTGAGTAGTGAGCTAGTTTCTACCTTTGCACTTGCTAGCCTCAAAGCACCTGAAGAGTAACTGCTTGTTCGTCATATACAACCTCGTGTACAACTTTCAACTAACGTTAGTATGCATGGAAGGTGGCAACCCTATAGCTAGCTAACGTTAGACAGTGATTGATATACCGTTTGAAAGTGTCCCACCTAGTTTTGTTTAAAATAGTCTTATATCAATTGTTTTCACACTGATAGCAAAAAATATATATTTGAGATTTTTTTTTCAAAGTATTTTGAGAGAGATTTTTTTTCTCAGAAATAATTAAAAAAAATTCAAATTTAGTCTCAAATATTATTATTTTTTGCTATTGGTATGAAAACTTTTTCTCTCAAATATTCTTTTTTCTCTCAGATCATTTATTTTCTCGCATGTAATAAAGACACAATTCTAGCTCCATAGGCTTGACATTAACATCCGCCTAATGCGTGTGTATTTCAGCAGTGGCGTGTAACGCAGTCACTCCTACTAGACACTTTGGCAGGTTGAATTTTATATATAATATATATATATATAAATTTTTTCAAATGTATTCTTTTAAAAAGGCTTCTGAAATAATAAAGTAGGTGCTATGTAGTGTTGTCAAAAATATAATTTTTTTCAATACATATCGATACTCAAATCTGAAACGCTTCCAATACTCATTTTCCGCAGAATAGATACACGATACTGCGCTTTCTTAGCCTCGTGAGACCATCCTGATCTCGCGAGCTTTCAAGGTTTCACTCGCAGATCAGTCTGGATACTTTCCGTTAAAGAAAATTTGGGAGCAGTTCACCAAACGAACGTCCAATCAGCGTTGGCTTTGAGGCGGGTTGAGGTGTGACGCAACGAGAAGCGCGTCAGTTCAGTCTAAAGAACATGTCGGCTTCAGCGGATGAAACTAGCATCAGCGTGGCTATTGAGCAAGTTTTATCGGAATTACAGAGTATTTCTTCACTTAAAAAGAAGAGCAAAACACTGCTCTGGAGGCTTTTCTCAGAGGAAAAGATACGCTCTGTTAGTACGTCATATGCTTCGTTGATCTGATTGGTTGATTTGGCCCGTCTATCACCAACATAGGCCAATCAGCTAACCAGTATTTTCGCCCCTTACCAAAACTACTTCAACGGAAGGTTTCCAGATGGATATGCGGAGCAAATCCATCTGGCGGAGTCAGGTTAGCGCTTTCTCTCTCTCTCATGAATCTCTGTCCGACAGCGAGTTACACACAAACCCAACTCTCCTCACTCACTCGTTTAATGTGCTCCGGATGAATATTGTTGGTGTTACAGGGCTTGAATTTCGGCGTGAGATTGCGCATAATTTTACTAATTCCCATAGATTTTGTGCTCACACACAATGTGTGTGCACATAAAGCCGCCTCTCAGTACTAAATTGAGTCTTTTTTGCTGCTTATTGCGCTTAAACAGTAAAATACACACAAAATAATATAAAAAGGTGAGTATTCATGTAAACACAATCAGTTAAATGTTTTAAGTGAACAAAAACAGTTGAGAAATAAAACACGTGTAACAGAATAATGGATCAGTGCGTCTGGTCTTAAAGTGACAGCAGCCTAATAAACCTGCTGCTAAATTATGAGATCATATTAAAAATATCTATATGGCAGTTTTTCCCCATGGTATCGATGCCAAAATTGTGGCCAGTGAAAATGCTGAGTGGCGTGTAACTTTGGAAAACCACTAGTGAGTAAAAAAGGTAATGTCAAGCCCTGGTTGTCAGTGACGCTCAGTGTCGGGGAGAAAATAAATAAATAAAAATAAAATAAATACATCTCAGTTGTAGCATCACTGTTAAAAAATATCTACAAATAAAGTAGTTGACCTCACTAATCAACTAGCAATATTTTGGATTTTATGTTGTGTAAATTTATGTTTTATAAATGATGGTGTCTTCTTGTTCTTGTATTATTGGTATTGTTATATACAAATAGAAAATTCAAAGGAACAGCATTTATTTGAAATAGAAATCTTATGTAACATTATAAATGTCTTTACTGTCACTTTTTATCAATTTAATTCATCCTTGCTATGTACAATGTACTGTACAATGATGCAGAACATTTAAATATGAGATATATAGAAAAATGATAATATAATTATATAGTAAGTATACATAGACTTGAGATATTACACAAGTAATTGAAAGGATCTTGTATGTCAAATGGGTTGTAGCTTTAGTATTTTAACACAGGTGATGGTGTTTCAAAGATGATCTCACTCAGAAATCCAGCCAGGAACACGTCTACGATCACAGACCTGTACGCAAATCAAATTTACAGTCAAAACAAGCAGTCCCGCATGTATCCAACTCACTATTTCCCTCTATTATTCTTCTCTTTCACTGTATTATTCCTCTGATGTCTCCTCTCCCTCCGGCGCTCCAGATGTGGATGAATGTCTTACCCAACAGCACAACTGCAGCCGTGGCACCACCTGTATCAACACCGGAGGAGGTTTCCAGTGTGTGAACCCCGAGTGTCCGCGCTCGCACGGCAACGTCAGCTACGTCAAGACGTCACCGTTGTGAGTGAGCACACACACACACTAAAGCTCAGTGAGCTGCCGGACTGTCCACTGCCTACTTTGCAGCATTTCTGAAGGAGAACCTGCTTTACACACCAGATTATACCGTTGGCGAGCCGAGCGGTGACTTCTTTAAGATGAGTAAATAAACGGTACGGTGCATCGGCTTAGGACACTCATAGACACAGATCTAAATCAGAGATGACGAATAAGAAACACCATGGCAGGTGTCCATTTAAATATATGCCAGATGTCACTTTGTAAAAGAAACACTATGTGCCTGTGGACTGAACACGTGATACGCATGAGCATGATGTCACCGTTTTCACAAACTGTGTCAAGTTAAGTTTTTGTTGTTTGCATGGAGATGATAACGGTATCATTTTCAAAAACGTACACTTTGATCCACTAGGTAATGATTAGATTAGATCGTTATTTGATTAGATATTTGTGTTAACGAGCAGGTGTACCTAATAAAGTGGCCGATGAGTGTGTGTGTGTGTATGTATATATATATATACTGTTACAGTTCATAGTGAACCAGGGGCTAAGTCTGAAGTCATACGAAAACTTTGTGTGAGGAACCAGCCGAAATGTATGACATCAAACCTGCCTGTAATGACTATGAACTGTTGTTTTATACAAAATATCTATGTGATTTAAAAACTTTTAGTTTTACCACCATACGGGTTCAGAATGACACGAGGGTGAGTAAATAACCATAGAATTATTTTTTATTTTTTCTCACAGAATAGCATGTGACGATTTCGACTAGAAAACGGGAGAAAATGACAGAGTAATGCATGTTGTTGAGCTTGTGTTTGCATATCAAACACACACACACACACACGTGTCTCCTGGAGTCCCTCACAGCACTGGGGGCCACTCATGCCTCCTCTAAATCACTTGCCACTTGCTTGCGGTGTAATTTAAGTGGGTTACAATCATTTCTTTTTCTTGTTTGACACTTTTATGCTTGTTTTATTATGTAAGGTGTTTTTAAGATGTGAATGGGCCCTTTGTGTCCTGCTAAATGTGAGGCTGTGATCTGTGAGTCACTAAACCTTGAAGTTTTAGGCACACATGCTATATTCTCAGTAACAGCACCAGAAATATTTACAATCATAACTGGCATAGTCAATGTTAAGATGTAGTGCAAAAAGAGTTGGTTAGCATGGTCCAGTTCGTCCCTGCTGGTAGATACTTTTATTGACTACATCATCTGAAAGCAATTTTTTTTTTTTTTTTTTTTTTTTGCCACATAATAAAAAAAAAATGTTTTGGTAAATTAGAATTATGAGATTAAAAAGTTGAAATGTTCACTATAAGTCATAATTATGAGAAAAAGTTACAATTATGAGATACAAAAATACAAGAACGTCACTTCTCCTCGGCTGTGAACCGCTCCTGGCGCGCGCCTGGTAAATCCGCCGTTATAATAGCAATCCGCCATGCAACATGCGCACCTGCTCTTAAAGGGTATGTTGGATGACACTCTGATTGGTTAATTTCCCGTTACGCCCAAACCACACCTATGAATAATGAAGCTATTTCAGACCAACCCCTTTTAAACTTGCGTCGGGCGCAAGAGTCATTTATCCCGCCGGTAAAATAGCAACAGCGCCCAAGACCCGCCCACAAAGTTACTTGCGCTTCGCGCTTGATACTTGCGTTTCAGATCGTTAAAATAGGGCCCAATATGTCAACATTTTATGGCATGATTTTTTTTCTCATGTGGTGGAAATGGGATTGCTAGTAAAGTTCTTGGGACTGTGTACGTGTGCACTTACTAAACTAGGATTTTGGAACAGATGTGCGGTATTTCAAACACAGTTAATGAGGTAACGTTGATGTTCTGTCCTCCACCACAGCCAGTGTGAAAGAAACCCCTGTCCCATGGAGAGCCGGTCCTGTCCATTCGCCGCCAAGACCATTTCTCACCACTACCTGTCCCTGCCGTCCAACCTGCGCACCCCAGCCACCCTGTTCCGCATGGCCACCGCGACGGCTCCGGGTCGGCCCGGCCCCGACAGCCTCCGCTTCGGCATCGCAGGAGGAGGAGACTCCAGGAACACCTTCGTGATGCAGCGCTCGGACCGTCAGACCGGAGAGCTGATCCTCGTCCGGCCCATGCCAGGCCCACAGGAGCTCAGCGTGGAGGTGGAGATGTCCGAGTACGCCGAGCGCACCTTCCAAGCCAAACATCTGGCACGGGTCCACCTCCTGATCTCACCCTACGAGTTCTGAAGAGAGGCGGCTTGCTGTCCAAATCTAGAGTTGATGTTTAGACTCCAAGAGGAAAGAATGTTTTCCTTATTGCTAAAGCTGAATGATAGAGTTGTTCTCAGAGGCGGCTCGGATTTTGACGTTGGGACGGTGCAAAAATGAAAATATGGGAAGTACAGTGGAAAGTCATGCTCAAATGGAAGTCAAATTAATATTTTAAGGTAATAAGTAAAGAAAAATGCTTTTGCTTTATCCTGCTGGTACATTTGCGGTTAAAGGTGAAGCGTGTAATTATTTTCTCTGTTAAAATACTTACATTTATTCGTTTTTAAAATCAAATTTAAGACCTGCACAAATAAAATGAATGCTGTATGTCCTATGCAATCACAAAATAAAACATGCATCTCAGATTATTTTTTACTTACTGTAATTAAAGCGCTTTATCATGTAATTTTAAAGATTAATAATCACATTAGGTCATATCACGATTCCTGTTTTTCCATCCTCAAATTGAAGACCTCTTAAATGATAATTAAGACTTTTGTTTTACCATTTAAGATATTTAACCTAACGTTTGGTGTTGCTTACGTCACAAAAACGACACAATTGTACATCTCATTCAAGAACTACAGTAATGGTCAAACATAAAACATGCAGGGTTTAAGCAATAAAGGTTAATGCAAGTGGAAAAATAGTACAGGAAAGTGTATTATGCACATGTTGAAGAAAGAGAAAAAAGTGGGGGGAAAGGTGCAATTCCTGGGAATTAACAACAAGGAGAGCTTTATGATTGGTTAGATCATTCAGTGAGGAAAAGACCATGTGACCAGTGCTAGAGAATGAAAGTCTAAAGACACAAAATGAGCTAAACCTGTTGAACAGAGCTGCGAGTCATTCCTTGTTTTTATTACCTTCTTCAGCTTCAGTAAAGTTAACTTCAGCTTGTAAATATGCGCTGCTGTCGGTCAGTGAGGTTTCGACAGACTGATATGAACAACAGCACTTCTTAGCATCTGCCTACAGTACATGAGAAATGGCCTGTTTTTAATTATTGTTCCATTATGTTTGTTGGGTGTTTTATAATAAGATCAACAAAGTCTGATTACTCAAAAGTATGCATTTGAGTATGATATATTGCTCTTCATGTCTGCTGCTCATGCTAGTGTATATCAGGATTGGTATCTAATATTGAAATCAATGGCTATTTCACACATTATTGTGTTTTATTTCTCTGTCTTGCACACACGTGTTGAACGTTTCTTAATTAAAGTCAGAGTTTTGATGTCTTTCTCTGGTTTCTTTGATCCTCCACAGCAAATTAACAATCGATTAATTTGGGGTCAGTAAGTTTTAAAAAAAGAAATTAATCCTTTTGTTCAGGAAGCATGCATTAAATTGATCAAAAATGACAGTAAAGATATTTATAATGTTAGAAAAGTTTTCTATTTCAAATAAATGTTGTTCTTTTAATGCTGTTCTTTCTATTCTCAATCTCATATTTTGGTTTAGCTAAATGAGCATTGAAAATCTTTGGAATCTCTCCAGAATCAAATATGAAGCTCCTTCACGTGACGAGTAGCATAACCTTACAAATTAGAGGAATGCCGGGGACAATAACAATCAGGAAATTAAAGAGTAGCCTATTCCTCAATGTGTTTTTCAATTACGTGTTTGCTAGAAAGAGAAAAGGAAAGTAATGTTGACCACATGTGGTTGCCCACCCCCTTCTCCCTCTCCCTCTCCCTCTCTCTGTGCTTTAACTTGCAATAAGATGATCAAAAGAACCACAAGCTTCCAGAAGCACATGTTCAGGACGGCCGGGTCCCGTTTTAAATGACAATGCACTTCAACCGTAAAATCTCTGCATAATTATTGTGAAACATCCCCAACGGGCCACTCTGAAGCTTTCTAAAGGTTTTAAGTACAGTATGATTTGCCAGAGAAAACTTAAGGCCCAAAGTCATCATTTAACTTTCACTACAAGAAATAAACATGGACAATTTGAGGGAAGAAGAGATAAGCAAACATTTAAACGAAAGGAATCATTTACTCACCCTCATGTCGTTCCAAAACCTGAATTTCTGTCTTCCTTCTGTGGAAAACAGATGGTTTTCAGGAATGTTCACGCTGCTCTTTTCCATTCACTGAAAGCATATAGAGAAAAAAGCATTTACGTTCTCATAAAACAATCTTTTCAATCCATACGATACAGTAGCTTTGTGTGAGGACTCACTTAAATGTAATTCAGCAATAGTATGCAGTAAACACCTGGTGTTAAAGTGTTTGAGAGATTGAGTTGTGCAGGTGTGTTTTTGTAAATTAGTCATTATTTTGGACTGGGATATAAAATAAGAGGAAAAACAATAGGAGGAAAATGTCATGCATCAGTAAAACCACATGTGTTTGCCATTGGAAAAGTAGATTGTTATCTTGCCTGTGTTTAGTTCTGGTCATGGTACAGTTGTGTTTTTGTTTGTCATGTTCCTTGGTTTAAGACTCAAAGTTCACGGATTAGCTGAAAGACACTTACGGACTTGTGCTTGTTTTGAGAGGAGAAAAAGCTATGTACACTTTCCCCTTCATTTTATCAACAACAACAACCACAAAATATGATGCTGAATTAACAGAATCTTATTTGAGATAAGCGAATGGATTAAAATGAAAAGACAATTCTATTTAAAAACACTTTTACGGGCAAATTGCTTTAGATTCCTCAAATTATAAATTATGAGGTTAAGTAGATACATAGAACATTTATAAATCATACAGAAATTAACAGTATTACATCCATTGTTTTGATCAAGTATATGAAGAAGTGCTGTACTTACCTGGTACTTATATTTGGTTAGGGATCGGATGCCCCCTTGTGGCTTCACTGAAAATAGATGAAAATAATAAATATAAAATTTAAAGGCCTAGTTTCACAGACAGGGCTAAGGGCTTAGATAAAGTAGCTTTTATAAACCTGCCGTAGAATTTATCTTTTACTGGTGTGCATCTTGAGACAAAACAATGATGGTAAGTCTGTCCCTCACAGCCTTTTTATACGCGGTAAATTCAAAATGGCGTCTAACCTGACTGGTTGACGAGGAACGAAAATCTCAGTCTAGAGAGCGTTTAATTAGTAAACAAACAAACAAACAAACAAAAACACTCGGTGTAGTGGAGAGTCATGGTGATGAATGTGTTCATTCACGAAACTCTTCTCAGAGAAATATTAGTAATACTTGGTAAAGTATTTACTAATCTAAAAGAACGACCTTCATTTACAAGCTTATCTTTCATAGACTAAATGAAATGACAATGTCATGGTCAATCATATTATCAGATTTGTTCTCACCTTCAGGACACTGTGAACCCTATTAAACAACATGATAATAAAACCCATAACAACTCGACGCCTCCGAACTCACGATTTGACTAATAAAGAGTCTTTATTGCAACCTACATTGTTTAACGTGAATGAAAGTTGGATAAACATTAATGTGTAGACATAAAACAGACTGGACCTGAGCTTTATGGGACACCAAGTGTGCTTTGCTCTTTGAATAATCATGTGAGCTCACATTCGAGGAGACTACCTGATTGTTAGCAAACAGAAAAGGCAATGAAAAACACTGTAAAGTAAAGCGTTTTTATGAAGCAAACAAAACAGTAACACATGAAGGACAAGGTCAGCATCATACAGATAAATTGAGCACATCACCGCATCCCATGACCAAAAGAAACCACAATAACTTAAAGTGCGCTTGAAATATACACAATTCATAAGTTATTTCACATGTGGACACATAAAGGAAATAAATAGACATCTTTCGGAAGTTTAACAGTCATCCTGCAAGGTAAAGCACACATCGTTCTGTTAAGCGGACATGTCACAGAATGTCCAACCGAGACCAGGGCCGATTTTACTGTGCTACTGCAGAACAAAACTCAAGAACAGAAGTGTGTTAAGGCTTCAGTATGCATCTACACACAGATCCAAGAGTCATACGCTTTTCCTCAAAAAGAAAAACAAACATGTAAAGGAATATTTCACCAAAAAATGACTTTGTTGAAATGTTGTTTCAAACCCATATAACTAGATTTCTTCCATGAAATGCAAAAGCTGCGAGCCTTTATGCTACTTCGTTGCCTACAACCAAAGTTCAAGCTCAAAAAAGGCATCTCATGCGCTATATTCCAACTCAATAGTTTTGTGAGGAACAGACCAAAATATAAGTTATTCACTGCTCTTAAATCTCATTCACAAAAGTTTTTAGATTGCATGGTGTAAGAGAATGCTGCAAAGACGAAGGTTTTTGGCCAATAATTGCTTAAATTTAGCTCTGTTCCTCACACAAAGCTATCATACGATTTCAGAAGACTTGCACAAGTCGTATGCACTACTAAATTTTCTTTCAGAACTTTCACGGAACAAATATGAGGCCAAATAAATAATAACAATTTCGATTGTTGAGCTGGGCTCTGTGCAAAACAAAAAACAACTTCATACAATTATTCAGAATATTTATGAAAAATTAAGAATCATTCTGCGTATTTAAATTACTCCCTGCACAAATACAAATTCGACACACCGACAGACATTCTACTATTCACATCATGTGCTGAAATTATAGACAAAATGTTTGAAATAACACTTTATAAACAGCCAAAGAAATGAAGACGACGCTTTGGTCAACTTGAGGTTCCTTATCAATGTTTTTCAATATCAAATGACACTCACACAAAACAAACCCATTTAAATAATACATTATCTCTGCATATGATCAGTTGCTCATAATTTTGACAGGTATGTCATCACGAAAGTTTAGAAACATAGACCGTCGTCACTTTATACAGATCAATGTTGACTTTAAAGTCTTCTGGACGTTTGAACAGTTCAGGAAAAAAAGAGGTATCACCTCACATAAAGTTCAGGTAGTACGGCGTCTAGATCATCTAGAATGCGTCCACCTCTTCAGCACGATTCTTTCAATGTTCCCAAAATCCACCAACCAAACGGACCAGAGGAAGAGTCTGTGGCTCTCTGGTGAGGGTCAGATGCCAGTGATAGGAACAGCGGTTTGGTTGATCTCTGGAGCTTTGCTTTCGCATCCTCACTCCATTTTAGACATCTCATACTTGGTGGTCATGATCTCCTGTTGAAAATCATGTATTAATTAATCAAATTATATATGTAAATGTGACAGAAATACATAAACAATGCATGCTGCTATGTCTAATGCACACATCTGACATTTCTTTTCAATTTACAATCCAATTTTTGTCAGCTTTTTATTTTTATTTAATTTCCAACATTAATACACTGCTGTTCTGTACCATAATGCATACAATAATGCAACGTAATAATTAAAAAATGGCATCATGTGATGACTCATTATTTTGTCTACCCTACGTATCCAATTTCACCAGCAGAAAACAAAACAGTAAGAAAAAAACTAAAAGATAAAGCAAAGCAAAGCTACGGTAGAAATGAAATGAGTATACATACCTCATCTGAGTCGAGAAGAACAGGAAGAGCTCTGAGAATAAGAAACATGAATAATTAGAAATTGGCATGGGAAGTTTTGTCTTGTAGAGAGTAGAGGCTGTATGTAAGTATGTATGTGTGTAAAATGACCTACACATCAGAAAGAGAGGTAGGAATATTGTCCTCCACCCACTTCAAGTCTTCATCCTGCAACGATCAAATATTTCTTGTTGTTGCATGAATAATTATTACATTTATTGATATTTATTATATTTTTATTATGGACAGGATATATATATATATATGAGCTGCACGATTAATTGTTTAAAGATCACAATCTTGATTCAAACACACATGTGATCTTATTCTTATATGACGATTTAGCTGTGTCTATTAAACCTTTGACAAGTACGATCACAACTGAACATTCAAATCTGCATTCACACCGACACTAACCCAGAGAGAGCAGTTGTCATGTATAGGTATAAAACAACTTCACAAACAGTCTTACAAATAATTCATATTATCACAGAAGTACTGGGATAAAAATGTATAACTCGGATGTAAACACTGATGTCTACGGAAGTGGTCAAAGTAGAGCAAATCACCTTTTGAAAGTAGCTTGACGCCTGAAATAAAGATTGTATCAATTGCATTATTACACCAGTAGCTGGCAACAAGTGACTGTTAAAAAATGTATTTTCAGCACCAGAAAGATTTCTTATTATTATTATCAATGTTGAAAACAGTTGTGCTGCTTCATATTTTTACGGAAAACCATGATACATTTTTTCAGAAAGTTCAAAAGAACAGCATTTAAATAAATAAATAAACAATCTTTTGTAACATTATAAATGTCTTTACTGTCACTTTTGATCAATTAAATGCACTCTTGCTGAATAAAAGATTGCTTACATTTTTTTTTTACGTTTTAAAAAGTTGTATTACTATATGGTAGAGTTACACTGACCGGATTAGCAGCTGCAGGCTTCACTGTTCCATTGGTTTCTGTCTTCGCTGCTCTCAACTTTATTCCATCAGCTGAAGATGAAAGAATGCATATTAATTAACCCACAATTTTCATTTAACACCATTTCCACACAGTGCAATAATATACAGTGAATACTTCAAGACATAATGACAAAAAAAAGTGTTACTGACCAATATTTGCAGACACCAGGAACTCTTCAATCTCCTCATCATCCGAGTCATCAATGAGCGGCGTGAACGCATACCTACACACACAGCACATGGATGCTGCTTTAGAAGAAAGACAGGATTTTGGACCATAAAGATATGTTCAGTACGCTTGCCTTTGGTTGTTGGCAGACGGCCTCCACAGAAACATGATGACCAGCAGAATGATGGAGAAGAGGAACCTCCAGAAAGCATCGTCCACCCACAGCTCCATCCAGTCCTGCTCATAAACACACAACAACCAGTTTCAGGTGTTCTGGATCTGCTCCAATCTGAGAAGAGCTGTAACCTCAGAGAGTTCAGGTACTCACCGCCTGGCAGTCGGATAACCGGAACTTCTTTGTTGTCCAAACCATGAAAATGATGGAGGCTGAAACACGACACATATAAATCAACTTTGACTGCCTTTCATCTTTTAACTCTATTCAGTTCATGCCTTATACTCACCGAGAACAGCAAAGATGAGCGTGTTGGTGAAGTGTCTGTACAAAGACAACTTCACTGGGTTTCTCCTGAGCTTTAGAGTCTTAATGGTTTGTGCCAGACTGACAAATATGTGAGATATAATCAAGGAAATATTGACTAGGAATATTCTGGGTTGTTATTGACCTCATTTTTGTGCATAACGTGTGGCATGCCGTCAATTATCACAGAGGGGGGAAAAATAATAACACACTAGAATAGAATAATGTTGGAAATATGTAACTATCACACTGTTTCAAAAGTATAACCATGCACATATATGAATGTAAGCACTTCTAGCTACACAAGTGTTATATTGGATTTGTTTTTTATAATATGCATATTTATAATATATTTAATAATAATAAAATACTATGTTTTGGTGTGCAATCAGGTTGAGTTGACTATTCAAGATCAAGATACACTACCATTCAAATGTTTGGGGTCAGTCATCATCAGTAAGATTTTTTAACCCTTTTGAAAGAAGTCTCTAAAAGAACTTGAAAGAAAGTTTTCTATTTGAATATATAATAAAATGTATTAATAAAATGCATTTCTTATTATTATCAATGTTGAAAACAGTTGTGATGCTTTTTGAAATTTCCTTGCTGAATAAAAGTATTAATTTCTTTTTTTTTTTTAAATCTAACTGACCCCAAACTTTTGAACTGTAGTGTAGTGCTAAAATACACCAGCTTGCATTATGTGGATCTTTACAGTAAACATGTCGTATTGATTTACACAGTGAAGGACAAGGACATTTTAAGCATTGTGCTTAGCAAGAAAGGTATACGACATCATGCAGGAATAAATATGGCCGCTACAGCCCAATAGACACATTGTGCAGGGACAAAGACACAAACACGGCTCCCTAGAAGGATATCCACCAACACAGAGAGGAGTCAAGCAGAGCCAGGGGAATGTTGGCTAGCAGGGCCAGGTCAGAGTCTTTAGCCTGAGAGAGAGAGATGCACAGGGGCGGGAAAATAAGGCATAGCAAACAGTAGGAACCAGTTCTTCTCCAATGAACATACATCTTGTAAAACCCTTCTCAACTACATATGCAAGAAATATGCAATGACAGAATAAGTCATTTTAAACACGGTTATGTTATTGGTGACACTACAATAAGATCTCATTTGTTAACATTAGTTAATGCATTGGCTAAAATGAGTAACAATGAGCAAAACATCTTTAAAGCATTTATTCATCTTTGTTAATGTTAGTTAGATTTTTTTTTTTCACGGTGCATTAACTAATGTTAACAAATACAACTTTTAATGTTGTAAATGTTAAATTTGACATCAACTAAGATTAATAAATGCATTTAATGTAGAGACCTAATGACACCTCATTGTAAACTGATAGCCTGATAATCTAACAGGTTTGATAAGCCCATCGGAAGGATATGAACCAGATGGCCGAAGAATCAAACATAGCTAGTATAACATAAGTGATGAGGGCTGGTCCATTATTTCGACCCTTAAAGATCAACATACACCAATCACATTCATTATTCACAAGCCCTAATGACGTCTCATTGACATTTATTAGAAGAAAATTGGCAGTTTAAATTATGCAGTTGCATAAGAAAAAATGGGGAAGTGTGAATGGTTTGAAATGCTCCAGGATGTCATCTTTACCCCAGTGATCCTCAGAACGCCCTCAATTGCAGCACATGAGAAGTAAAGCACACCCAGACCCACCACTCTGTGCATGACGGTGCCTAAACGTGGTCTGAGGACACAAAAACATCATCATCTCACGCTCTATATAATCATCCTGAAACCTGCAAATCAATGCTTTCATCACTCACTTGACAATGCCGTACCCAAGACTGACGATGATGACGAGCAAACGGGCCAGAGTCCTCTTCAGAGCGGAGACGAGCTCGGCAAAGATCAGAAGACCCTGAGCTGGAGAGAAGACAAACTATTAACTATAAAGAGAGTCAACTATTAAACATAGAATTATCCTATAGGTCTATTTGAAGTTTGTTTTTTAGTAAAAAAAATATCGATCCAAGTGTCATTCATTTTAAAGAAAGATGGCACAAGGACACTTTCAAATCAAACATTTTACAAAAAGGTTTGTTCAATTTTACTTGATAAAACAATTCTTCTAGTGTTGAAAATTAAGACAAAAGGACACTATACACTGCTGTTCAAACATTTTGGGGTCAAATAGTAAAAAAAAAAAAAAAAAATAATTAATACTTTTATTCAGCATGGATGCATTCAATTGTTCAAAAGTGACAGTAAAGACATTTATAATGCTAGTATGCTACAAAATATTTCTACTTTAAATTAATGCTGTTCTTTTGAAATTTCTATTCATCAAAGAATATCATGGTTTCTACAAAAATCTGAAGCAGCCCAACTGTTTTCAACACTGATAATAATAATAAATGTTTCTTGAGCAGAAAATCATTAGGATGATTTCTGAATGATCACGTGACACTGAAGACTGGAGGAGTAATGATACAGAAAATTCAGCTTTGATCACAGGAATAAATTACATTTTAATATGTATTACAATATAAAACAGTTATTTTAAATTGTAATAATATTTCACAATATTATTGTTGTTTTACTGTTTTTGCTCAAATAAATCGACTTTATGAGCAAAAGAGACTTTTTTAAACAACATTAAGAAATTTTACCGACCCCAAACCTTTGCATGGTAGCGTACATCTAATAAAAATGAGAAATATCCTACATGACACCATTTTATCTCACGCAACAGTTGCTCAGACAGTTTTACGTGTGACTTAAGTGTCCACATTTGTTTGGCCATGGTAAGAGAAGTTATGAAATTGAGAAAGAAAGTGTGTTAGAGTGTATTCTGACTAACATGCAGATCCCACGTTGTTAGTGTTCTGATATTCAGCACAGAAGACGGCCTTCTCTATCATCCCCAAAAATATGACTCCTGCAATCCAGAACTGGATCCTCAGCAGGTCTTTCCAGTAGCAGGACGACCAGACGAACCAGAGCAGAGCGTACAAAATGTACACCATACACATCACCATGTAGAACTGAAGAAAAGAGACAGAAAATGTGTTATTCCGTTTGTACAACACCGTTTCAACCAAAACCAGAAAACTTTTTGTCTTTTGGCTGTTCATTTACATTACAACAGTAATGTAATGGGACAGTAATGGTACCTGAAAAAGCAAACTTTGGAAAAAAGGTTTTAAAGTGCAAGTTTTTAAAACAATACCGTCATCGTCTCCTTGTAAATTACAAAGAAATTATGTCATTTGCATGCGTATCACATGTTCAATCAATAGGCCCGTAGTGTTTCTTCGCAAAATGACATGGCCAACTACTGGCCTGGCAGAATACAGTGTTTTTAGTCGTTTTCACAGGAATCGTTTTGACAACATTGTCAAACTTTTCTGTCTTTAGTACATTGTTGTCATGTAAACGTAACCTACGATTTTTTTTACGATTAAGATTTTAGCATTCACCAGATTAAAACCGTCCACTTAGAAAAGTAAAAGCATATCTCTCCTCAACCAGACACAGGATTTAAGCTTTCACTCATGTTCACAGCACAAATATGGCAGGATAAACTTAATAGGGCTTTCTAGGGTTTTAATTATGGCTTTTGATAATAAAAATTACATTACTGTTCAAAATATTTTGCAAGATTTTTTTTTAAAGAAATTAATATTGAATGAAGGCATTCATATTTTTATTAAATAAATGCAGCCTTGGTGAGCATAAGAGACTTCTTTCAAAAATATTTAAAAAATCTCACCGACCCCAAACTTTTGAACTAGTGTATATTTAATTATAATAATGCATATTATATATATATGTTATTATAACACAGATCATATTGCACCAATAAACAAATGACACAAAACCGATGTGCAACTACTTACGATCATGAGAGGCCATTCAGTGACAGAGAGAAAGCCGTGGGTTCCCTTCATCATAACACTGACTGAAACGCACAATTTAGATAAGATGCAATGCAAAAAGATGACATAACTGCACAGAAACACCTTATTAAGCAGCTAAATATTCATGCATCTATGACAAGATCAGATAAGGTAATTATGCCTACAAGTTAAATTCCAGTTGACATCTTGTTTGTTTGGATTGATTGACACCACCAGCAGGAAGGGCCCATCCCTCCAGGTCGTAGCAATCACATTTTCCTTCCAACAAAGAAATGATGTGCCATTACATAACAAATCTTTTACTCTCTCAATCTTTTACTGCAGGCAAATTGGCAAATACTCCATATATTATGTCCCAGAATGTCTCACCTTTGCTTCGGCCTCGGCAACAGGAGAACTTGTGAAACTGCCTTCCTAATGTTAAAAATATATATATATATATGTTTCTCTTAGATATTTGGAGAACAATCAGGCTTTTGAAGCAGGTCAAAAGTTAACGGCACCTACCTGGAACTCGCCATCCGCTGCAACTGTTTTCAGTGTTTTCGGTTCTGCTTTTGATTTCTGTAGAGAAATATGGAATAGACAACATTAAAAAAAGCAAGTAACAATTAATCTCCAAACATTCAATTATGAAATAAAGATTAACATCAGCTGATTGTCAGGACGTTGAAAGAGGTTGTAAACAAGACACTCATTTGACATTATTGTGAGCTATTTTTGTAAGTATACATCATCACGCTAGTATTTGTTGAACTGCCTTTAAATTATGCTGATTTTAATGTTTAAAGACATATCATTGTGTCACACAGAGAATGTGAGAATGATACTTCTTTCACATTGTAATGTTGTGTGTGTGTGTGTGTGTGTGTGTGTGTATAAAATGCTAAATAAATGTGTTTTTTCGGATAGTAAAATGTGTCTCAGACCAGTATTTTTGATTTTGTTAATGGAAATAAATATAAAATAAACATAAAAATTAGATAAAAAACGTAAAAACACAAACAAAAACACAAAATGAGAAATATTTCCTTCCTTCAACTAACTCAAATAATATCCATTTAAGGTGAAGTACTAAAATTACTAAACCTGAAATAAAAATGGTAACAGTTAATAACATTAGATAATAAAAATGTTCATGTTAGTTCACAGTGTATTACCTGATGATCTTAAAAATGTATTAGTAAATGTTGAAATTAACATTAAGATTAATAAATGCTGTAGAAGTATTGTTCATTGTTAGTACGTTAACTAGTGTCATTAACTAATGAAGTTAACAAATGAAAACTTATTGTAAAGCGTTACAATAAAAATGAATGAAAGCTAAATAGAAATACTTAAAATAATAAATAAAAGTGATAAAAAACACTACATAATTACTAAAAGTTAAACTAAAATGAAAACTGAAAATATAAAAAGAAAAATAAGATTTTTCTAAATAGTATAAACTAAATAATACTTAAACAACACTGACCTGGACCAACACTTATTGACTCACAATAAAAAATGTGACTAAATAAGTCAAGCTGATTAAAAATGAGATCAAGTGTTGCAAACGTACATTGAACATAGGGAAGATGTGCATGTCACTGCGGCAGGAAAATGCCCTGTATTTGTGCTGAATATACTCTCCGGGTCCGAGAGGGTTCGGGTCCATACTCCGGCCTCGACTCAGTGGCGTCTTTTCATACATTTCCTAAGCGAGCAAACAAACAAAAGTTCAACAAAGAAAGAGCATCACACACAGCTGGATTTCAGAAGCATATTACAGGTGCCACTCACTTCAATATTGTTGTACTCATTGTGACATGGGTAATGCTTCAAAAACCACTGAATGTTGAACGTCACTTCGTCTGGGCAACCAAATGATGTCACTGCAAGGAAAATAAAGACCGGGCGTACGTCACTAATACTATCCAGTTAATAACAATCATAATAAATAAATGTTTTTATTCAGCTTCATCTTTGATCTATGCAAAATACACAAATAAAAAAACAGATACCTTTTAGTTCAATGTCAGTGCCCTTATACATGGATTTTCTTAACAATAAAGGTCTTGATGTCTAGAAAAGAGAATATTGAGACAGTACATATACAGAAAACATACAATGTGCAAAATCTTTCTACAGTTTCTTTCAGAGAAAGAGCTAGCTGGTAGCTTAAACTGCTTCGATATGGCATTGTCTTACAATGGCAGCCACTGGAAACCTCAGTGGAAAAATTAGACAGCTCTTTAAATATTTGATAAGACCTTGTCACAAACTTGTAACACAGATCATATGGACAATCAAAGGTGACAGCGTCACAGTCAAAAGTAATAAAGTAAAATCCTCAGTTTGCAAGAAAAGGCTCCATTTATTGCTATCAGATACAGCAAATAGTGACAAATGTTCTTTTTTTTCCAATCAACACCTTGGTTCTTTGCATTGTGTCCTGCGTGTATAATGATTAAACTGGGTAACTTAAATTGTAAATGCTATTTATGGCACATCAGCCTGCTACATGACCCAGAACTAACAAATTACAACCATCTGATCATGACAGCATTATTCAATATCATCTCTCACATGGGGTTCATTACCGCAGCCCTTCATGCCAGTTAAATTAGTTAAAAAAAAGACACAATATTATGTTTTGGAGAGCTGTATTATAAATCACTGAGCTACTATCACTGATTCCCCCATGTAAACACAGCAGCGTTATACTTCAACAATTTAGCAGTATTTCATCATCTGAATGACTCCGACAGCCGTCTCATAACGTTTTATTCTAAATTCTAGGGGTTGTCTTACTAACAGTAACGTAAAAAAAACTCTGCGTAATCTATGAAATAAAGATGCCCTGGTATATACTAGCTGTTAGCATTTGGCTTCTTCGCTCATTGTCATCCATTTATAATCATAAATATCATCCACTCTCACATTAAGCACTGTAATAGTCCACATTCCCATCTCTGGAGCGGCGTTAACTCCATTTAATGATGAAATGATGAATAGAAATGGGATAAAACAGAGCAAACGGCTGCTGTCCCATATCCACCGACAACTTCGGACGGCCATGTTTACTGACCAGAGACGCTCGCTCGTGACCTCGTGACCCTCGCACTGGCGGACACGCACGCACGCGCGCACACACGCGCACACACACCTATGCGTGCGCGTGACACGACATGTCATGCCTTTCGATCTCATAAAACACAATATCCTTTGGACAAAATTAATCTTCTCATTAACCTTTTGAAATTAAGCGATAACAACAACAAAATGACACACTTTTATTGACACGCCTGAAATTACAATTTTGTGATCTGATTTTTTCATGTTCGCCTACACTTATTAAATAATTATTTTTAACACATTAATAATATAACCCTTACAAAGATGAAAAACTAAAACTAAAAAAAAAAAAAAAAAAACTATGAAAAACTATTTTTTTAAAAACTAAATTAAACATGGTTTTACTATATAGGTTAACCATGGTATTTATAGTAGAACTGAAATGTTGTGATACTTACGTACTGATTGATGAACTCAGTAAACATCAGATTTTAAGTGAAATTCACACTTAAAATCAAAAGGGAACGTTTATGAGTACAGCTTCTCATATTAATGGTAAATATATATATATCAAAACCCTCAGGTACTGTTGTCAAAAATGACAGAATTTATTTTTATTTCAATGAAATGATTGGACTATATTCTAGTTCAATAATGTTTTTTATTTAATATTTTGTATTTTTATGGCACTAAATTATATTTATGCAGTAATCCATCCATTTATTCTCTTTTTGAGCATGGACCTGAAAATAAAATGTCCAACTTAAACAGTCATAAATATCGAACACTTGGTTTGAAATAAAGATGACACTTGGCAAATTATGTAGTGAAAAAAGTTAAAAAAAGTTAACTTGTAAAACAGTTATAAAACTTTACATTTATTGTTATGAAAAATGCTCAAAAAATACAATTTTCCATTTTAATATGAAATAAATATTTTCCAAAACATGTTTTACTTTAATAATGTGAGAAAATCAAAGCTATAAATCTAAACAGGTTGTGTTCCAAATTTGAGGTTGATATCTTAAAAAATGAGTTTTCAGTAAGATTTTGTTTGGCAGCAGTACCAAACGCTTCCACTAGACGAAATTCGTCTACCAATTATTTCCAATGCGCTCATTTTTGACTGTTAACAACACAAGTGTGACTATTTTTTTCAGGACCATTTAACCTTTTTAAATCATGTCTATGATTCTTTTTGTGTGTCTGTTCACACTGCAAGTGCCAAAACCTTTACCAAGTTTCGTACCATTCCGGTAAAGTAAAAAATTCAACAACAAATTTTTTTATTTTTTTTTCCGGCAAAAATGACCGAACAACACCAGAGAATTAAAGTAAAAACATGGACAAAAACAATTACACAGCACCTAAAAGCAAATGTCATTTTGTTAGAACTATTTAATAAGATATTGTTCATAATGGCAGTAATAAATTGCACTTTTATATCAATCTCAAATTAATATTATAGATATTGCTATTGTACCTCAATCAAAAGGTACAGTAATACAAATTACTTAAGACAACATTTGAACATTTCTCCCATAGATTTTCTTCATGTCAGTTTAACTTCTAACTTAAAGCTGCAGTCCGTAATTTTTCCTCTTTGTCGCCATCTCTGTTCGAAACCTGCAATTGCAGTCATTCGCGGAATTATCAACTTTACGTGGGTTGTGCCTCGGCACGGCACAGCGCGGATGAACACAATATTTTGAGGAGAACATGCGGCTGTCAGTCGCCGCCGGTGTGGATACTGGCATTCACAATCACAGATTATACGTTTTGGAAGTATGACCAACATAATAATTTTCACCGGAAAGTAACATCCACTTTTGTTCTGACCAACTAAGGAAAAAAAAGCATTGCAGTAAATCGCGCTGATTAACGATTGCTTATCATATCACGTCAAAAGGTGCAAATTATACTTTGTTCTCAAACTGGTCATGTTAAAAACATCAGCATTGCGTGACTACATGTAATGCCCTTCCGATATTATCCTTGTTTTCGCATGGGCCGGTTGCAGTCTCTTTTTTTCTGTAGCCACTCCGAAGTCTGAAGTCTTCTGCATTTTACAGCGGGTGAGTCTCTAGTTGTCACTGGTGATTGTCGTTTGAACCTTTCTGGATCCGCCACCAAATTAATAAGTTTAATTATATCAAGTGCTGTGAGAAAAGGCTATAAATCTCCACCTCCAGCATCCTCACACTCATAGCCTACTAGCCGAGACTCTTCTTTATGTGTACAGATGTGTGTGTGTGTACAGATGTGTGTGTGCAGATGTGACGTAATGACGCAAAGACATGCTCAAATCTCCCGCGGAAATCCACCAGTACCACTGGAATTAAAAACATTATTACAAGCTTACCGCTTTGAATCGAGCTACGGCAAGCAGAGAGTTTTGAACACTGGCTGGTTATGCATTTGCTCAAATTTATTTTGGATAATTTTTAACCCAAAAAAGTTACGGACCGCAGCTTTAAAATGTAAAAAACACTATATACAGAAAAAGAGCATGTCCTTTATATTTACAAAAATGCATTTCTAATATACAAATCAGATTCTATGCAAAAACAAAGTTTAGAAAAAGCTTAAAATCACAATGTAGCTTAATTTTATAACACTTTCGAAGACAATTACATTACAAAAGGAAACAGTCTCCTCTGAAAAATACAAGACTTGTTTCATAACATTTGTAGCATCACAGTTTTGCGGTCTGTGCGTTAACATGCATTAAGGCAAAGACATCACCATGGTAAAGCTTTCTGACAAGTTCAACCAGGTGCGTTTAGGGTCTGTCGTGTTTCTGTGAACTGTGAAAGACTGAGGTCAAACCTGCACAAGGCTTTCTTCACACTGCGCTCAATTTGTTATTTTGCAAGAGATGCAATTGGAAATTGGTTGCAATATACTGACATACTGTACACTACTGTTCAAATGTCTTGGGTCGGTAAGAAAAAAAGTCTCTTATACTCATCAAGGCTGCACTTATTTGATCAAAAACACTGAAATATTGTGAAATATTACACTTTAAAGGCTGATCACAGTGTCACATGATCCTTCAGAAATCATTGCTGATACAGTTTAAGAAACATTTCTAAATATTTTCAATGTTAAAAACAGCTAATTCTTTCAAGAATAGTAAGCTCATTTATTTGAAATAGAAATCTTTTATAACATTATAAATGTCTTTCCTGTCAGCTTTAATCAATTTAATGTGTCCTTGCTGAATAAAAGTACTAATTTCTTTTTAAAAAAGAAGAAAAAAATCATACTGACCCCTATTATTTGAAAGGCAGTGTAGTAATGAATGCCATCATGATGTTCCTTTAGACTTTCCTCTATTTAACAAGTCAGACAAGTCAGCGCATTTCTAATAATCTTATATAAATCATAGATGTGTTTTAGAGATGGCTTGTAAACAGAAAATACCAATTTATTGCATACTTTGCAGTGATGCAACTTTTTGATGTCAAAACATTTCCTTGTAACTCAGCTTAATATACAGACTATATTTAAAGCATTCATGATTCCTCTGTAAAGTGTAACAGCGTCTCTATGGTGCTTTCAAAACATTGATCTGTATTTTTGAGCATCCCATCAAGCCCATCACAAGTTCATTTGGCAGTTTGTTTGACCACAAGTGTTCAAAAAATCGGAATAAAGTCATTATTTATTCAGTGTGTTGGCGCTAGTGACACCGAAATTACACACTTTAGTTGGACACCACAAAAAAAAGTCAATTTTCGGATGCATTTCAAATTCCCATCATGCAACTCTCCATCAGAGCAAACGTGTCGTGTCACTCGATGTTTTCTGCGCCCCCGTCTCGTCCCTGACCGTTTCATCGCTGTCCTGTTCCAAGATTCTGTGATTCAGTAGTGGCGTATCAACAGCAGTTCTCGCCGCGTGTTCCCCGGAGGATTTGATGACAACCACGTAACGGTCGTCCTCTGCGTCTGTGCTCTCGTGCACGTCTGCTGTGGTTTGGCGACTGCAGGACGGTGAGGAGGTCATCACAGGCCCTTCCGCCGCCACGCCGGGTACATCGTCGTCCTCCTCGGGGAAGCTGGTGTTGATGTAGATGATGTCCCTCCGGTTGGACACGGCGGGGAGTTTCCCTGCCAGATTCTCCAGTCTCTTCCTAACCTGTGTGAAGTCGGGTCGGTCCACCGGATCAGCGCTCCAGCAGCTGAACATGATATCATACCTGAAACACCACACAAGACATGTTATGATAGTCAAATCAGATTTACTTAAAAAAATAAAATTAAAAAAATCATCACATCAGTTAATCAGCAGTTTTGTCTTGTTTTCCAGTATTTGCTCAATTATGTGATTTTAAAGCAACACCAAGTAACTTTTCCTTTGCGGTCGCCCTACAGGTTGGAAGTGGAATTGTCCATTAACGCTGTCGTAAATAATTTATCCTAGCGCATCCTACTGTCGCACACACGCTCGTTGTTTATCCGGCACCGGCTTTGGAATCAACAATGGCCACAGACAAGGTAGAGTATGTTGTATGATTTCATGAAAGTATGATGTATTGCGACATCAGAAACGAAGAAAAACAAAATAATGACTATTGTAACGCTTGATGTAAAGCAAGTCAAATTTGTAGTTTTCTTTTGTCTCATTAGAACTACAGTAACGCGACCCGATCTGGCAATCTTACATAGCGTGGTTATAGCTGATATCCAGAAGTCCAGAAGTGCCTTTCACCCTGTTACGACTTAATGAACCAATGAAACGATTTTGGAAACATTATTTTAAGGTAAAGAATCTTACTTAGTGTTGCTTTAAAGGTTCCTAATTTTGGTTTTGAGTCTCCTACAATAGGTTTACATGCATGCAATGTCAAAAAAATATTTATTTTACAAGTAAAATACATTGCAGCATTAACTCTTTTCTCACAGTGTCTGAAACTGTTCTATAAAGGATTCGGTCTCTTCAAACCCCTCCTTTCTGAGAGCTTCCTCTGCTCTGATTGGTCAGACGGCCCAGTCTGTTGTGATTGGTCGGCCGCTTACAACGCGTGTTCGGAAACGAAACGCCTACGTATTACCATATCTGAATTTCAGCTCTTCCTCAGGACTTTATACACAGTGATACGAAGAGTAACAACAGTGTTTTTTTTTTAAAGCACGAATCCTCATCCTTTGGAAGTTCATGCAAAGTGGATTTGCTTTCGCAGCGCAGAAAAAAGCATCTTCTCGACATGAACAACACAAACTAAACTCTTCCAGTCTCAGCTACAACTACAGTGTTTGAGGGCGGGGCGAAGTAGACGTCGTTCGTGGGCAGCCAATGAAGACCACAGGCTGGCATTATGGAAATTTGTTACAAACCTACATAGGTTTTAGCAAGAAGTAAGATTACAATTGACCATACGCTAAGCCCCACCCTCCCTAGTTACTGTTGCTACGCCTGTCAAGCTTTCGTGCCTGGCACGTCTATTACAGTGTGTATGGACCGGTGTCAGACATTCCCAATGAGATAATTAGTCATTTTTGGCGAACATGTGAAATATCTGAGAGAGCAAGACAAAAGGGACTGCAGTATGCATTCCAGGGATATATCCACGACATAATATGCAACCGATTAGAGAATAATTTCATAAAAATTGAAGCTAAAGCATTTCTCCCCTCGGCTTTTAGATTTTCGGGAAGGAAAAAAATTCCACTCCCCCGTCCAAACTTTTAGGATACCGGGTATCAGATTTCCACAATCCATACGCACAACGCTTCGGCATGTTTCCCTCGCTCGAAAGCTTGCCAGACCTCCCGCGCCTAGTTACGGTTGCTAAGACACGATTGGCCAGTGGCGGTTTTCGGGCGTGGCTTAGCGAAGGGTCAATTACTGGCGACTCATTTCAGGCAGTTTAGAATCGCTTCTTTCTTTTGGGAGACAATAACTCCATTTATCCTGCACTTTGATCTTTAAAACCTTACAGACCTTTTACATTCACAAGCAGCTCTATTACACACTACATGAAAGGTAGGTCAATTAACAGATCAATTAACCCGAGAAGGAAAATGCATAAGATATAAGCAAAGTTGTTTCTGGTGCATAAAGTTTTATATTTTGATAAAACACAACGTTTTATCATCTTTTAGAATAATATACTGACGAATTATGCACAATATGACGTGCGGTAAATAATGCATGTTAAAAAAAGTAAATGTGGTCAATTAGGATTTCATGTTAACTAATAGTTTTGGACTGGATACAAGTTTTGTCCAGGAAAAAGGTAGGCATGCTATGACCACAAGCAGGATATCCACAGAGATTTTAAAACTCACAGTTCATCAAGACAGTCGTTGGGTTGTTTCAGTCGGTTTCCATCAAGGAGATAGTCGTAAATCTCATGGTTTTGTACTCCAGGGTATGGGGTCATGCCTCGAGTGGCTATTTCCCACATGGTCACTCCAAATGCCCACTAAACAGGACATTAAGGGAAAATAAACATTAACAAACATTCAAAAACCCTGACTATGGTCTAAAGCTTATCAATGAGAAGTCATATGTCGTATGAACAGCCGTTTCCTGTACCAAAGTAACACACACACTACAGTTCAAAAGTTTGAAGTCAGTACGATTTTTATACTTTTATTTAACAAGGAGGCAGTAAATTGATCAAAAATGACATTTATAATGTTACAAAAGATTTCTACTTCAAATAAATGCTGTTCTTTTGAACTTTCTATTCATCAAATAATGCTGAAAAAATGTATCACGTTTCCACAAAAATATGAAGCAGCATGAACTGTTTCCAACATTGATAATAAATCATCATATCAGAGTGATTTCTGAAGGATCATGTGACACTGAAGACTGGAGTAATGATGCTGAAAATTCAACTTTGATCACAGGAATAAATTACTTTTTATAATATATTAAAATATATTATAGAAACTGTTACTTTAAATAGTAATAATATCACAGACTATTTTTACTGTATTTTTGATCAAATAAATGCAGCCTTGCTGAGCAGAAGAGACTTCTATTAAAGCCTTTTTTTTTTTAAAAACGTAGTTTGTGTAAAATAAAAGGAACTATAAAGTTATGAGCAGCTGTAGAGACTAAAAACATCACTCATCCTCTCATGAATTTGAATAAAACAGAGCTATGAAGAGGCTGTAATGACAGTTCTTACCACATCACTTTTCACTGTGAAGACTCGGTCAGCGAGGCTTTCCACTGCGATCCATTTGACAGGCATCTTGGCAATCCGGCCCTGTCTGTAATAGTCACCACTGTAGATTTTCTTTGACAGGCCAAAATCAGCAACACACACGCTCAAGTCATCTCGCAACCTGGATGAAAAAAAAAAAAAAATGGTAATTGCTTGAAACAAACATTGAGACTTATAAAGTTCAAATAAACAGTAATAAAATCCCTAGCATTACACTAACATTCAGATTTTTGAGGTCTTCTGCTCACCAAGGCATATCAAAAATACAGTAAAAACAGTAATTTATGAAATATTTTTACAATTTAAAATAAGTGTTTTCTATGTGAATATATTGTAAACTGTAATTTATTCCTGTGATTTTCAGCATCATTACAGTCTTCAGTGTCACATGATCCTTCAGAAATCAGTCTAATATGATGATCAGTGTCACATGATCCTTTAGAAATCATTCTAATATGATGATCAGTGTCACATGATCCTTTAGAAATCATTCTAATATGATGATGAAATGCTCAAGAAACATTTATGATTATGATCAATGTTCAAAAACAGTTGTGCTGCTTCATTTTTATTTGGGGGGAAACTGTGTTTTTGTCTTTCTTTCAGTTAATAGGCGACGATAAGTTGAGGACACATACATGCAGTTGCGAGCGGCCAGGTCCCGATGTAGGAAGTTTCTGTTGCTGAGATACTCCATTCCCAGAGCGATGTCAATCATGAACTTCAGGAGCATCTGCGTAGGGAGAAACTGGAAACACAACACAGCATCTGTTAGACCCATGATAACTTCACAGTTTGGCTCATGCATGTAGACCAATAGTAATGCTGCTTATTTGGCATCTTACCACAGGATCTTCCTCGAGACGTGAGCGCAGGAGGAAACTATGCAAGTCTCCGTACTTCATGAAGGGGAGCACGACCATTGGTTTAGGAAAGTGTCCTGAGCCCACTTCTAAACAAACACCTACGTGAACAAATTAACATTATAGCAGTAGATAAAGACTTTGATATCATTGACCCGAACATATTATGGATTTAAACACTTTGCGTATTGATATATCAGAATGTTTCCACTCTATAATGAGTATTTCTAGTGTGTTCAATAATGCAGGTGCCAGGCATGTTTCTCACCCAAGAGTCTGATGACATTATGATGATGAAAATCCTTCATGCAAGCAGCTTCATTCAGAAACTCTTCAATCTCTCTCTGCGAGAAGTTATCCACTGAAAGAGGCAGAAATGAAGAGTCTTTATTTCATATATTTGATCATATTCTCTTCTAGGCCTATCTAGTTATAAAGATCTCACATAAAATATAAGTTTAGTGTCTTTGCAGACCATTGTAAAGACCTACAGCTGTAAGATTAGTTGAAAATGTAAAACAAACAAACAAAAAATGTCTAGGTGCAAATATGGTAATAAGAATACATGCGATAAATAAAGAAATACTATAATAATAAATGTAAAAAATTAATTACCTTGAAATATTTTTTAAATAGTAATAATTAATAAATAAAATATAAATGTCAAATATTAAATATGACAAAAAAACTAATATTAATAAGAATGAAAAATATAATACTCTTTACTATATATATGTGCTGGGCAACGATTAAAAAATTTAATCGCGATTAATCGCATGACTTCTTGCGATTAATCGCATTGTTACGCGCAAAATTGAATAATGAATTCTAAAGTAGTGTATTGCGCACTTTTGATTTAAATGTACTGCTACAAAAGTGTAATAACATGTGGTTTGCAAAAACTTTAAACAAATAAGGTGCTTTTATACCAGCAGTATTCCCTTTACACATTATCAATAAAATATTTCTTGTAAATCTCAACTTAAACATTAATGTAATCAAATCAAATATTTAAACAAAGCTATTTGCCACTGCTAGGGCATTACCTTTTATCTAGCTTGTTAAAACGAGTCCTGTTTTCTTGTGCGTTTTTTTCTGAACAGGTATCTTGTATCAGGGAGCAGCAGAAACAGTCTATGTAGTCAAAGGGTCATGATCACTACTACAGAAATAAGTCGACCAACGTTACTTCTCTGATAGCAGCTTAGGTTTGGTCATGGCATGTCATAGTTTCCCACGTAAGATTACATTAAACAGAGGTAAAGCCCAATTTATACTTCTGCGTCGAACTCACGCCGTAGCTGTGTAGCGCGCGTACCCTGACGTGCATCTCTCCAAAAATGTAACGTCAATTCTACGCGTACCGCAAGCGCTGTGATTGCTAGAACCGCTCCCCGGGTTTCACACTCTCCCTCATGTGTAATTGCGCGTCAACGCGGACAACGACGCAGATATATAAATGAAAACCAACGCGTAGTCTATAGCGTAGAGGCTCCGGCTTAGGTCCGACGCAGAAGTATAAATCAGCATGGAGTGAGGTGAAGTGGTCGAGCACAGGTGCAGCGACAAGCGGGTGCGTTCCTGTGAAACTGTTGCAGTCATGCTCGCCTCACGCACGCGCCCGCGCGTTGCCGAAGTTGAATTGTCTAACTTTTTTGTACATGACGCGCAGCACAAATCATTGGAAGAGAGACTGATCCTCGGCTCGCTGTTTGTGAGTTTCCAGAATCTAAATAGTTATCAGGACATCAACAGGAGGGAATTCACATGGCAGAGCATCCCCGCTAAACTAAACGCAGGCCTATCAGGTAAAGTTATGTATAATTTTAATTTAAGTTAAAAAGGCTACAGTTGCATAGCGCACAGAAGCCGTTGCCATGGTTACTATCCATAGAGCGCCTGTCATTCACTCGCGGAGCGCTGTCTCCCTTTCTGTTCACCTGAGAGAACCTGCCAAAGCCTCTCCACTGCTTGTTTGGGTGGGTTATTTGCTGGCTGACCAACATCCCACCCCTCCTGTGATCCATGGTTTGACTGTAGGCCTATGTGTATTCAGAGCCAGTGAGCAACAGACTTTCAAAAAAACAAACAAAAAAAAACTCTGCGTTAACGCGCGATAAAAAAATTGTCGGCATTAATTAATAAATGCGTTAACGCGATAATAACGCGTTAACTTGCCCAGCACTAATATAATATATATATATATATATTTCTAATAATAATAAAAAAGTAATAATTTTTACAATTTAATAAAAACAAAATATAATAATAATACAATTATTTTGAAAAAGTATTGCATTTATTCTTAATTAATTAATTATAATAAATGTAATACTTTTTAAAATATAATAAAATATTTTTTTTTTACAGTTCAATAAAAGTAACTATAATAATAATAGTAATAATAAATAAATAAAATTTTAATTGTAATATTATAAAATGTAATAATTTTTCAAAATAATTTAAAATAAAATATGTAAAACTTGAATATTTGAATTAGGGATGTCCCGATCCGATCACGCGATCGGAAATCGGGCCCGATCACGTGGTTTCAGACTCGATCGGAATCGGAGGTTAGTTACCTTCCGATCAGGACTCGGATATATGTAAATTAGGGGTGTAACGGTACATGTATTCGTTATTATTGAACCGTTTCGGTACGAGGCTTCCGGTTCGGTACGCATACAAACCGAACGATTCCTTGGACCATTTTTCCTGCAGACAAAATCCACGCTGGCGCGATCACCACAACGTTGCGCAACATCAAATGGCAAACGTAAAGAAAGCGGAACGAAACTGCGCTTCTCATTATATTGTGCTTAACGGACCATTATCAGTTCGGACCAGCAATATCTGTTCAGCGCGAGATCAAGCGACACAGCGCCAAGAGATCCAGTGAAGAAAACATTTGAATTCGCCACTGAAGTAATAACATCACTGCGAGATCTAGTGAGAAGCATTCACATTTCTCCGTTATTAACCTTGGATCTCTATAAGATCAAACAGCGCTGACGTGGGAACCAGGAGAAACATTGTGCCGTGAATGAACATGGACTTAATGTTGCACTTCAAAACTCAAATATTATATAAATATATATTTAAATGTTATTTTTAATGTGATTACCAAAACATTATTTGTTAATCCTTCAAAGATTACCCCCATTTATAAACCTGAAAGTTTCAAAATGTAGGAAAACTCTAACTTATTTAAAAATAGTTTTTCTTTTAACAAATAGGAAATTTCTCTGGCATTTCTTTCTTTTGCTGTATCGTATCGAACCGAACCACAAATTTAGTGAACTGTTACACCCCTAATGTATATATATATTCTCATTATTTTTTTATACACTTTTAAAACATTTTTATTTTTTGTTTACATGCCTGCTGGGTATTTTAAGTTGAGGTGCTCTTTGTTTTTATATTAGACTTTTTCTATATTTACTGTTGCACTAAAGTCCAAAAGTGAAGATTTTATGTTATTTATTACTTGATTGTTCAAGCTACCTCACAGAAGTGCTCTGTTTGTTAACAGTTGTTGAATGTTAAAATAAAGTGAATTAAATAAAAAATAAGGAACATCCTGGATCTGTTTTTTCTCTCTTCTTTATTATTTTTTTATGTATTATATACGTATCGGATCGGGACTCGGTATCGGTAGATAGTCAAAATCAAATGACTCGGACTCGGACTCGAGGGCAAAAAAACCTGATCGGGACATCCCTAATTTGAATAATAATAAGTAAATGTAATTTTTTAAATATAAAATAACTAATTTTTAAATTAAATACTTAAATACTTCAAAGTAAAAAGTATCCACCTTCATAATCTTAATCTAAAATATCCAAACTAAAATGATTTGCACTTTTGAAATCAAAAACTTACATTTCATGGTTTTCACAGCAACTTTTTCAGAGGTTCCATTAGGCTGTCTGAGATGTCCCTCCATCACAGATCCAAACTCACCTAAAGAAGAGACATTAGGTCAATAAATGCATCTGACATGAGCGGTCACACAACACAACACTACACAACACTACACAACACTACACAACACTACACAACACTACACAACACTCCACAACACTCCACAACACTCCACAACACTCCACAACACTCCACAACACTACACAACACTCCACAACACTCCACAACACTCCACTACACAACACAACACCCTCACCTTCTCCGAGGACTTTACCGATGGACAGCAGATTCCTTAAGATCATCACGTCCTGCAGTTTGGCCTGAAGCTCACTGCTAATGCCCAGACTGGCAACTAAAACAAAGAAGAAATACTTTATAATCTAGAATAGTTTAAATCTTCAAGTTTTGGGAAAAATGCTAGCAATGCTTGACGTACGTGTGGTTTCGATGGCTGAACGGTTGTAGGATCTCTGAGGTCGGTACTCAACGCCAGGAGTGAGTTTGTCATCAGCACCAAACAAACACCTGTAGAGGGCGCCAGTGACACATTTACACACACACACACATGACAGCCACACAGTACACAAACACAAATCATTCATTTAGAGTCACCATTTTCACATTTCCCCATGACATATTACTAACTACTAACTTAGCAATCTTGAGATTTAGGATTTCATGAAGTTTCAGCCAGAAAAGCTGACATTGAGTTGCAGTAAATCTGTTGAAACAGCACAAAACAAGCAGGAACTCCTCGGTCAACCTGCTAATAGTGCTAGTCGACTCATGTAAACCAGCAGCTATAGCAGTACAAAACCAGTACTACTAACCAGCAAAAACTATAAAACTTCATGCAGGTCTAAGCCGTTCGGAGGAGCTACCGACTAAAAACATTTAAATAAATAAATAAAAAGACACAGGATCCTGAAATGCAATGGAAACTAAATGCACTTTAGTGTTGAACTGAAGCATTTCTTCCTAGTTTCTTTTAGAAAAGCAGGCACTACCTTAAACTGGGATGAACTGACTATAACATGTGATTTATTTTAAAATTCATTATGAATTACAACAAAACTCTCTTTAATTAGACATCGAGTGCGTTTACATGCACCCTCATAATGAGATTATAATGGGATTTTGACATTATTGACATCCAATAATGTGATTATTTCCAATAAACAGAGTACGGTCTTAATCGCAGTAAGATGTTTACATGACACAAGCAAACCTATTCACTCCCGTTTACATGCAATTTCCATTTATCTGGTTATTCTCTAAGAACTGTGGTTATTTTTACCACCATTATTCACATACTGCAATACACAGCTCAAATGATGAACTCTCGGCAAACAGCTAGACTTCTCATTAACCCTTTTTGTCCAAATACATGCTGGTTAACAATGCAGATTAGACTTCAAATTTTATTTTTGCCACATTTGCAGTCATTTTAGATGCAGTCTGGAGTCCTGCAAAAGGACCTTGAACAGTTAACAGTTATTTGTTAAGTAACTTAGTGGATATTTAACCGCAAAGCGACCACAACCCCCACTGCACATTATCGGTAGAGTCAGCCAGAGACTGTTCACGTATTCCAGAGAGAATGATGAAAACGGGATGTTGTTGTTAGTCTCACTAGAAAACAACCAAAGGCAATCTGAAGCTCTTTGCTTAGCACTACTCTGGCCAACTCTGTCCTCCATAATTTAGTTTTACTAAGAAGCCATGCTGTTTTTACAGACCACTGCAACCTTCCCCCTACTTTTCTTTCCTGAAGCCTTCAATTTCTTGTCCAAAGTTAATATGAACAAACTCTGGTTCCTAAAATAGCCCTTGTTTTTCAGATTTGGTCTTAGCATGAAAATACGTCTGAAAATCACAGAGCAGTGAGATTTAACAATTACATCAATGAAGTGAAACATTATACATTTTACCAGCTCTGTAAAACACAATAACAAGAAAACAAAATGCATACGGACAGTGAAAAGTAAAGTAAATTAAATAACATATGCAAACCGAATAAATAGAAAAAAAATAAGATGGGGCTTCTCACAATTCTGAGGAAAAAACCTTTTCAATATTTTTAAATATTTTTCTCAGAATATTGAAAGATTAACTTACAATTACAAGATTGCAAAATTTAAATTGTAAGACAAACAAACAATCGCGAGGGAAAGAAGTCAGAATTGTGAGGTATAAAGTCAGTTACCTTTTATATTTCTTATTTTGTGACTTTAAACAAGCCTCCATTTTAAACAGCTATTTTATTATGATGCTAACATTATGACGTCAGGTTAAAAGTTATTTTAAAGGGTTTTTCTTTGGAATAACATATACTAATAAATCACTCACAGTAAGAACAGGAAACTGTGTTCAAGTAAACCGGGTCGATTTTGATTTCATGTTGAATATAAAAATAAAAATAAAAGAGAAATGACAAAGAAACTTACGGCAAAAAGGAGTGACTGCGCAACCACAACACGCCAAACATCACTATCAACAACAGACAGAAACCGCAAACCACTCCAAGCACGATGTACACGGAGTCGGAACGATTGGGAACTGGCGTCGAGGACGGAGACTCAGGAGATCCTGAAAGCAAAACACACATGCATGCACTTCACCATTTAATAAACAAGAGCATAAACAACAATAAGGCTGGCATCTGTACTTCTAACAAAGGTCAGCAGAATACTAAACATCTACGTTGTAATGGACAATATTGGAATTGGATGAAACAATAAATAGAGAGGTAAGAAATGTAGATATTTGGTTTCGGTGTAATAAATGATCTCTTAACATTGACAAAACAAACTACATTGTATTTCATTCCAACAAAAAACAAATGGAACACAGGCATGTTAAGTCTAAAAATAAATGAACAAATTATTGAAAGAGTAAACACCACTAAATTTCTCGGAGTCTTTATCGATGAAAGTTTAAAATTCAAATGCCATATTGATCAATTAATAAAAAAATTATCCAAATACGTTGGACTATTATTTAAAGTAAGACATCTTTTCCCACTGTCAGCACTTCTCACCTTATATAAAACCTAGTTTGAGCCCCACTTAAACTATTGTAATGTCATATGGTGAAATACTTTTGCCAGCTACCTGAAAAAAAAAATACAGACTCTACAGAAAAAAGTTATACGGGTAATAACGTGGTCTGAGCACAATACCCCCACTCGTCCTCTGTTTCGTCGCTTTGGTCCATTAAGGCTTCTTGAATATAATGTCTTTCATAATGCCTGTACGATATTTCAAGGTCATTCATAGGTTGAATCACCGATTGTGTGAGCTTGTTCCAATCAGTCGTCCCCAGCATATGACACAAGGGAAAAACATTTAATTACTGGCAAAAAACGACGACTAAAATGTACGAGCCTGTAATTTTAAAAATTTTAAATTGTTGCATTCTTTCTCCATTTTCAAGAAAAATCTCAAGGAAAAATTGCTTATAACATATGATTGTTGAACATTTCGTAATTGTTATACTCGTCTGTTTGTTGTAGTGTTTATTTTCTGTTGTTTTTTGTCTATTTTGTGTCTATGGTACACTGAGTTTTGGTTTGTATATTATATACGTTTATGTTATCGGGCCCCCTACTAAAAGCTTTTAAGTAGCTTCTTTGGGGTTCCCTTTCACACGACCTATATATGACCATTGTTTCTTCTGAAAATGTGTGTAAATGTTATAATGATGACGTGTGAAATAAAGTAAAGTAAGGTAAAGTCACAAGTGCAATATTAATATTATCCTCTATGCTTTGAATCTCACTAACGGCATTTTAGCCCAGAGTTTAGTTCAACAGCTTGAAACAGGTGATGATGTGTCCTTTGTTCATGACTCTCTTTGCTTGTCCAAAATGTTGAGATCACACAAGAGTGATTTAACTTCGTAAGCATTTGGTTCTTTCCGAACAAATATCCCTCCTAGCTGCTGAAAGACTATTTTGATTTAATCAACAACATTTTTAAAGAGGTTTTTGATTTTAAAATCAACTGTAAATGTTTCTTATGGGAAACTACGGATGTATTCACTGCAATTAATTTACAATTCAAGATAATCGTTCAGTGGGATGCCTTCCAGAAAGAAGCTGTTTGCACTAACTCAGGGTTGCTGCAGTGCTTTTAAATATCAAAAATATATTTATGCTGGTAATTATTTACAGGACATACATTTAAAAAAAAAAAACACACACACACACACACACACACTATATATATATATATATATATATATATATATATATATATATACACACACACATACACACACACACACATATACACACACACATATATATATATGTATAATTTAAAAAGTTAAAATAAATAAGATTATATAAAAAAAATTGATTTATTTAAATTAAAATAATATAGAAATATATATAATGAATTAATATATCTTAGAGCTGCACGATTCTGGATAAATTGAGAATCAAGACTTTTTGTTTAAAAAAGAGGTCATGATTCTGAATAGACAAACAAAATAACATGTAATTTAATTTCTAGAGGTTCTGACAAAATGTTAATTGCTGCAGTCTATTTAAAAAATGTTTTAACATATAATTTGAATGAATGATTCAATGACTCACTCATAAAGCCTTCACTTGTTTCAGTACTGGATGATTCGTTGTTGAACGAATCTATTGAATGAATGATTCAATGACAAATACATTTTTAACAGACTTTACATCAAGGACCACAATAGAAACAAGTTTTTTTTAAACTTTAATTGTGTTATCCTTGACAAATGAGTGTATTTTTCACTATTATTTTGTCTAATAAATCAGACACTTATTGCCAACAACTGGTGTAACCAATGTAATTGATACAATCTTTAATTGAAACGTCAACTTACTTTTAAGTAGACATCAGTGTTTATATCCAGACTATTAACTTTTATTCCAGTGTTTGGCAAGCTCTTTCATACCTAAATATGACAACTGCTCTCTCTGGGTCAGTGAATCGAGATCGTGATCTTTCAATGATCAATCGTTAAAAGATCTATGTTACGTGGGACAATAGTTAATTATACAGTTTAGTGGTCATTATACAAACATGTTTGTCTGCTGATTTCCACCAGAAAGCAGTAAAACAAACAAAACAAAAAGCACAGCAAAAACAAAACCAAATACTTCAAATACAGATAAACAGCACTAACTTTTCTTTTTGCAGTGTCACTACGTTGCAATATTTCATTACATCTACTAATGGTGAAACCCAGAGGAATGTTCATGCATCTGCTCACCAGTGTTTGGAATAAAGAGAAAGAAGCGTGACCTTTTGGTCCCACAGCCGCTCTGAGTGCAGGCCACGACCTCCACACTGTATGTGGTGTTGAACACCTGCAGTGTCACTGCGGCCTCGGTGGTGATACTGTGAATCTGGAACACACACACACACACACACACACACACATTTTTTGTTTTATCATTGCATTGTCAAATGTCTAGCATAGACCAGTCTGAATCTCCATGCTTGTCCAAGCTGGTTTAGTATGAGTCTTAAAGGGCTCCTATGCTTTTCTTAAGTGTGTAATGTTGCTGTTTGAGCATGATAAAGGTCTGTAAAGTCCCTCCAGCGGGAGTTCTTCTCTATATCAGTGTCAGTGTTTCTGAACTCCCTGAAATGCCTCCATTGTAGTCTTGAGTTTCTTCCGGGAACGAACACGTCACAATATTCCTCATTTGAATAATTGATACGCAGAATAAAGGAGCGGGGCCTGGTTGAGTTAGTTAGTAGTGTGTTAAACTGGGGGTTATGGTAAGGGGCGGGACATTTCCCAAACACACTCGAAGCACTTGACCAATCACAACACACTGCTCCAGCCGACCAATTAGAGCACAGTGTGCTTTTCAGAAGGAGGGGCTTCATAGAGACAGGAACTAAACAGAGTTTTACTGACAGACTGAGAAGAGAGGAGCCGCAACAATGTACAATATGTGAAAAATAATGTGTTTTTTGAAATTTCAAGCATTAAAACCTATTCTAGTAGATCCCAAAACTTTGAAAAAGGACATAATTGGTCCTCTTAAAAAAAAATTGTTTTATGAAAATATTGTTTAGCATTGCAGGAACGAAAAACATTTTATATGAAATCAAGGGTAAAAACAAACCAAAGGCTGGATGAAAAAGAGAAGCTGTTTTTTGAGGACATCGGGAGGTTAACACATGACGCATGTGACACATCGATGTGCTGGTTGCGTAAAGTTGCCACTTCTGTTTCCAACATATAAGACATTCTGACACTTACACTAAAACTGAGTCAGTAAAAAAAATGTGGAAAAACTGCATCTGCAGATCTCGAAACGAGAAGTGATTCGTTCTAGGGGCTTTGACAAGTACACATGGCCAGTTTAGGGTATTTAGGGTGCATGCAATTCGTTTCTGCATGTAAATGGTTTATGTTTTTTTAATATTGAAATACTTGCATGTTTATCTACTAAACTGGATTTGCATTTCCTATTAAGTGCACATTTCTGTTGACCATGCATAAGAATCAACACAATACATACAATAAGGGTTAAATAGATGCTAGAAAGAAAAATAAACCCAAAAGAAAAAAGAAATCCTGCCCAGCTTCTGCGATAAGCCACTTCTGGTCGTCTAGTTCACATAATAGCTTCCTGTTTTTTACTGGTCCTGAAGGTTTTCAATCCTTGTTTGCTGAAGGAACCCTTGGATTATGGTCAGAAAAGCAAACTCAGCAGTTATATTCAACCCAAGCTTGAAACAACATGTTTTTCAAACACACCTACTCTAATTCTTACACACTTACCAGAGACGGACTTACTAAAACACACTCATTTACTGGATAACCTCCTGTTAAGCATTACTGTCTCGTTGGCAACACTATTTTAGGCAAATTTTAAGGCTTTTTCTTGTCTAGGCCTGATGTCACGATGAAGGAATTAAGGGACCTTCTTAAAATTTAAATAAATAATTAAAAAAATATGTATAATAATAATAAAGAAATTAAAAAAAGAAAATAAAGCCAGTAAGAAAAATATATTTTTTTTATTTCTTTTTTATTTTGGTGTGAAACATTTTTGTTAACTGATATAAAGCTGAAATAAAATTAAATAAAATTAAAATAAAAATAGATGAAAAACTTATAATAAACAAAAATTAGAAATGTTGCCTTGCGAACTTCCCCAAAATTCCAAAATTTTCTAATTGGAAACAAATTAAAAAACAAACTGAAAAATAAATTAAACCTAGTTATATATAAAAAAACAAACGCATAAAATAAAATAAAATAACAAAACTTACAAGTATAAATATATATATATTTAATATAAAATTATAGTACAAGCTCTTGTCTTTACAGGTTTTATAAGATTAAAACTAGTCTTCAAACACTTATTTGTGCTGTGATAAAGTGTGTGCCCAAAACCCAAACAAATGTAATCAAAATAATTCACTTTTCCATGAGCAGTTGTTACTCGATGAACTACAAGGTCATTTCGTTAAGGGAGAGCAACAGCTGTCGGTCCAAGACCAGCTGTGCGTGTAAATGCATGACACTCATTTCCAGTTACTGTTGTTTTCACACAGATCACAGTATGAGATCACACAGGTCAGTCACGGCTATAGAATACAACAGATTGTTAAATCGCAGCCATTGATTGGTCGTCATGAACTCCAGGTCACTCAGTGGTGAGTCACGGCAGACATACAATAACAAATGACTTCTCCACACGCTGTCGTTTTCCTGTGACTAGCACAGAAAAAGGAAGTACACCATTGTGCCAGGAGAGAAATAAATGCCATGCTGTTACAAAACCACTCCCATATGATCGGTCACTGGACATCGACAAAGATCACACTCACACAGGGCATTCAGAGGTGATAGACTATGGGAACATCCTCAGTTTATTTTTAACAGTGATAATGCTCAAGACTTCCTAATGACTTTGTAACTAAACAAGTGCAACTAATAGAGGAGTGAATCTTCACTTGCCTCACGACTCATTATGATTCAGAGGGCACCGATTCGATTATAAAGCATTTCTCGATGCATATTTTCCTCCAATTCTATTTAACAGAAGCATTCAAGCAAGAAATAATACAAAAAAATAAATAAATTGATTCTAATAAAAGCTATAAAAATGTTATTCAGTCAAGAGCAGTGAGTGATTCCCTCTTTTCTTTTGTTGTTTGGTCAACATTAATAGCAGCAGGTTTATTATATTAGGACCAAATGCAGAGATTTAATAAAATGTTACACATTAGATTTTTCCCCGCAAATGTCTACGTTCACTTAAGTCACAACTGACTATGCCTACGTGAATACTCTTCCTGTGTGTATCTGACCGTTCAAGTGTAATGCGGTGCTAAAGATAACTAAATTTGCAGTCACATGATGTCTGAGAGAGGTGGCTTTCTGTGTGCGTTTGTGTGTACATACAATTTGAGTGTGTAATGCCGAGTTCAGACTGCACGATTTTAGCCCCGATTTTGGCTCGCCGACAGGTTTTGAGAAATCGCCGACAAATGCCCGAAATCACAAGCAAATCGGTGCTCGTTCACGCGAGTGACAATCACACAGTGTGAATGAGCAAAGACGCGATCCGAGAGAATCGCCGACGAGTCGCCGACGCCCGTGAGATATTTGGCATGCTAAATATCTGGACCTGTCGGCGATTCACAATCCTGCTGTGTGAATGTGTTCTGACTGAAAACTACATCGGCGATGACCGACAGCCAATGAGAGAGCAAGATACAGGGAGGAGGAGGAGTTATACACCAGAATATCAGTATTTTAATAGACAGGCCTATATTTACAATTATATCAAACAGAAACAAAGCACAAACATTTGCATGACCAGCAGCAACAGCAGGACATTTGAAAAATTATTTATTTACCCCCAACTCTTTGCAAAACACAGTCCTTGCTCCCCTCGTCTTCCCAACCATTTCCTGCATAAACTGTTCATTATTTTTTTTCATTTTCGCTACAAATCAGTCTACAGTGTAGGCTATCATTTTTAATAACAAAATCAGTGTCGCGCGAGAACTCCGGTCTCACGCACGCGTGATCTTCCGTTATTTTATTAAACGTAGTTTGCGGACCAGGCAGAAGTTGTCAGCGATTCTTTCTTTTGTAAAGTCATGCAGTGTGAAACCTCCTGTCGCCGATCCATCGTGCAGTGTGAACACAGCAGCAACTGAATGTTACCCCAGATAGTCATGCAGTGTGAAAACAACAGTGACCCGATTATTTTGAAAATCGTGCAGTCTGAACTCGGCATAAGTCAGCGCGAGTAACACATTGAGATCTTTTTCGTGGCTTATTGCGTTTAATAAACACAAGGTTCTATCATGAAACTCTAGATTGCGCAGGCTGACCGGTCCTTAACTCAATCACATCATCTCTATAGGGCACAGCTGATTGGTTCCTGCTGTATTAGTAGCCAATGAACTCGCTGCTCAACCTTCAAATACTGGTCAAGAGTTGTCAAGGCAAAACTGTTTAACATCAAGCACATCCCGCACTTTATTTCCCTGATTCATGCATCTTTTTGTGAAAACTAAAGCATAAGTTACGAAATACACGACTTTTTGAGTTCTTTATTTACAATAAAATAGTACAATAATATGCATGATAGGCCTATCTAAATAAATTTTAAAAATCAATTCTTTTGTTTTTATGCATCGATGCAGAATCGTCATAAAATCATAATAACGATTATATTCCACAGCGCTAGCAGCTATGATACTCCATTAGACTTTTTCCCCATGTTGTTACACACTTGGCCTCGAGAACTATTTATTCTAGTGGGACTTACAACTCAATCTGTGCTTAAAGTGTTTTATTAATAATCATTTCCAGTTGCACTTGTGGTGGAAAAAAAATGAAACCATGAAACCAAAATTGGCTTGTTTTATTTTTTGTATGGAATATTGCATTATTTATTATAAATGATTTATCCGTGCACATGATTTTGTTTAAATTCAAGTGCCTCATTCTCTGTAATCAAAATAACTTGCAGCATCTTTTCTCTTCTCTGATGACATGTTTACTGGCGTGTGGGCGGGGCAACCTGTCAGTCACTCACTCGATCAGATCGACCAATAGCCAACCACAACCATCCAACCAATTCCTGATGGACTAAATCAGGTCCCGCCCTACATTTTCTCTTGTTCAAGAAGCCGTTTCACTCAGATATAGGTCAAAATAGGAAAGAAAAGACTAGCGCAACGTTTGTTTCATGTCGAATTTAAAACTGGCAAATATCACACATTGCAAACTGATGTGCAATGATAAATGCATAACATCACAATGAAGACATTTGCTTAAGGGGCATTTAATAATACAGCTGAACTCAAGCAGGCTGGCATGCCGAAGGAAACTGAACATTAATGATCTCAGACTGTCGCTTTCATCCTAGAAACAAGAACAGCTGCTTTATTTTAATGGCTCTAGCCAATTTCCTCACAGCTGGTGAAAATCTCATGTCTGAAGAGCAACACTGACCAAAATGCTGCTCTGGGCAACTTAGAAGTAGATGAACTGAGTAATAAAAACAAATTGGTTACGTACAGGATATGTAGATACTATAAAGTGAACTCAGGGGGTTTTGCTCTTATTTTGTGTGGCACAGAACAGACAGAACAGATGTGTGGATGTTTACTTCAGTTGTAATTAGTGTTATTTTAGTATCAGTGATTATAGTTTTTGTTAATTATTAACAAAATAATTGTTAATTATTAACTATGATAGTTTTTGTTAATATTTGGAATTAATATTTTTATATTTTCTCTTTTTATTTTCATTTAAGTTAAAGTTTTATTATTTATTTTTTGTAAATATATCTATTGTTTTTATTCAGTTTTAAGTTTGAATTTATTTAGTTTTAGTTACTTTAGTACTTAGTTTTAGTTACATTAGAACTTAAACTAAATGAAAATTAGAAATGTTGCTTTGGCAACTAGCTTAAAATAAAGTAATTTTTTTTTATATATATATATATATTTTACTTTATTTCAGTTAATGTTTATTTGAAGTAATTTATGTTTTTAGTTGTGCTTAATGATGATAACCCTGGTTGCAGCACAGTAAACACAGAGTAAAGTAGAAATTATGTGAATATTTTCACCAGCTAAAAGTGAAAATCTTCAGTAAAACAGCAATAATTATTGTATAATAATAAATTAAGCATACAGTTTTATATTAAGTAGAATATTTGTACTAATAAAAATGCTTTTGCACCACAGACTATATAAGTGAACTGCACATCAAGTGAAATAAAAATATTGAAAATGTCAAAGATACAGTGAAATCATACAAAATACATACAAAAAAAAAGTGTTTACCTTTATAAAGTCATTGTCTAAACCTAAAAACCTTGACACTCAATAGTAAACATATTCTTTGAGAGAATCTTTAAATAATAATTTAACAAATTCAGCAAAGTTTCTTAAAGAACGTTCCTATACACTGTGACAACTTTGGGATTATAGATATGATTTCTAAATAAAAAGGCATAGCAAGCAAGCATTAAAGAGGCACTGCAAATGTCCAGAGTGTTGTGAGAGAAAAGACAGAATTTAGTTTCTCAGTCATTGACATTTACTAAACTCAGTTTTGTTAGTACACAAAACACAATTGGCAAACCCAATTACTAACCTTGTTCGTACGTGTCCCGTGTTTAATAGTGACATCATATCCTTGCAAGACTCCATTCAACTTGTCAGGGGGCGGAGCTTCCCATCGGATCATCAACATGGAATTGTTCACAATAACAGTCAAGTTTTGGGGGGCCTCCAATGGGACTGACAATAATAAAAGTAAAATGACACTTTCACTTCAGATAAATCATCTCTTGAGCAACATGTAAAATACTGACCAAAGACAAACCAAAGGACTAAGAAACCAACAAAAAAGCAGTAACCCAATTCCAGATTGAATCACATTAGAAGTAAAGTATAACAAACCAAAATGCTTATCAGGGACTAAAAATATCCTTCGCAGTTCTTTTAGGAATACAGAGGAAATCCATTACGGACACACCCATAAGAAAAGCATTTCTAACTGCCAGGTCACTCCCATTCCCATTTGGCATTTGGAAAATTCTTGGATATGAAAGACATAATTACATACTTCAGGAATTCTCTTCTATTCTTTCTCTTATTAGCAAAATGGTACTCTCATATTGCACTCAACTACATCTTTCATTTCCAGTGTGCAGAATTATTTGGAAATTATGTGATTAATACCCTTTTTACTTGTTATTCGATAATAAAAATTTAAAGCTTTTCTTTCTAAGAAAACCGAATGTACTCACAAGTGACATCATGTGACAAAGCAGCATATCAATGTTTATTGTTGTAAATGCATATAGTTTTCCTTATTTTTAAGAATGAGTATGCATTACAGTATACACTATGTAGTAAGCTAGTGTTTCAGTCTGAACATACACTTGCATTCAAGAAGTACTGGGATAAAAGTTTATAGTTCAGATATAAACACTGATTTCTACCGTAGTGATAGAGTAAAATAGAGTAAGTCCCCGACTGAAACTCAACGCTTCATATAAAGATTGTATCAATTACATCGTTACACCAGTAGGTGTAACAAGTGACTGTTAAAAAATGTATGTGTCATTGAATCATTCATTCAAGAGATTCTTTGTTCAAAAATGCTAATTCATCTAGTAATGAAACAAGTGAAGTCTTTATGAGTGAGTCATTGAATCATTCATTCAATCAGATTTAAAAATATATATTTTTTTGAATAGACTGTTTTGTATAGTTGTCTAATTCAGAATCATGATCTCTATTTTTAACAAATATATCGTGATTCTCCACTTATCCAGAATCATGCAGCTCTACATTAAATTGATCAAAAGTGACATTTTTAATATAATATAAGATTTCGATTTTAAGTAAATGCGGTTTATCTGTCTACTCATCAAAGAATCCTGAAAACATGCATTACGGTTTCTGCAAAAATATGAACTGTTTTCAACATTGATAATAATCAGAAATGTTTCTTGAGCATTTCATCATCATATTAGAATGATTTCTAAAGGATCATGTGACACTGAAGACTGGAGTAATGATGCTGAAAATTCAGCGTTGCATGTCAGGAACTGTATTTTTGATCAATTAAATGCACATAAGAGACGCCTGTCGAAAATGTAAATCTTTTGAATGGTTATGTAGCCTGTGACTCAGAATGTTTGTTTAAAGGGATAGTTCACTTTGAAATAAAATTTTGATATGTTTTAGCTTACCTCAAGGGCATCCAAGATGTAGGTGTCTTTGTTTCCGCAGTAGTTTCAATTTTGATATTTTAAAGTCAAACCGTTCTTGTCTGTCAGTCATATAATGCAGGTCTATGGTCACCACCTCAAAGAGCATGCACAGAGAAGTCCAAATTAAACATGATTTAATGACTCGTAAATGTAAGTACACATTGATGGCCTAAGACACGAAACGAGCGGTTTGTGTGAGAAAACGAACAGTATTTATATAGTTTTTACCTCTTGTAACCACAGACCGAAGCGCCGGCGCCCTCAGATCACTTGGACGTGGCTGTGTTTACAAGAGGTAAAAACGATATAAATACGGTTCGTTTTCTCACACAAACCGCTCGTTTCGTGTCTTAGGCCATCAATGTGTACTTACATTTACGAGTCATTAAATCATGTTTAATCTGGACTTCTCTGTGCATGCTCTTTGAGGTGGTGACCATAGGCCTGCATTATGTGACTGACAGACAAGAACGGTTTGACCTAAAAATATCAAAATTGAAACTACTGCGGAAACAAAGACACCTACATCTTGGATGCCCTTGAGGTAAGCTAAAACATACCAAAAATTAATTTCAAAGTGAACTATCCCTTTAATTCACTGAAAGTCCAGGAAGTTGCTCCGTCTGACTCACCGCCCTCAGTGGTGTTGCTCTGGACCCAAGCGCTGGGCGGTGACGACCCGATCTCATTGATGCAGGACACACTCATGTTGTACCAGGTCATGGCTTTGAGGTTGCTGATTTCATACTGGAACGGAGGCACTTGTGTGCTTTGTGCGGCTGTAGGACTCCCCGGCTCTCGGCCGAGCTCTCGCACCTATAACAGATGATTTATGACCCGTTACAAAAATGATGATGATCATCTGAATCAAAGCTTTCAGTGGTGTTACTTTAACAAATGAACAGAATTACAATGTCAACTTGGCGCAAGTTAAAATGGATGGAAAATAACAGAGGAAAAAGAAATCACCCTGAACTGAACTGAACATTTTGTTCCCCAGAGGATTTATTACAAATAGAGTTGATTAATTTTGTCCCTCTTACTGTGATGTGGCACGTGTTGAGAGGAGAGAAGCCATCGTTTCCTGGAGTCCAGCTCAAGAGGAGTTTGTTGGACTCCCGTTTTACTACTGTGACGTTTGACACTTTGTCAGGAAGCTCTGGAAAAACATTAATCAAGCATGTGTGTTAGAGCCACAAATTGCATCAGATTTTCCGTTTTTTGATAAATGTATACTTTGTGTTATTTGTATTGTAACACGTGACTTTGGCTAGTTTTATACATGTTATGTATGAGTTACAATTTGAAGAAGAATAAGGAACGGTTTTATGCTAGACAGTCTTTTGACTGTGGAAAACCCTAAAATTCATGCCTTTGGAACTTGATTAAAACTAGTTTTTGAGTTTGATTTCTCTTATGATGTAACTTGACAAAGAAAAATTCAACTTTACATGACAAGTTATGGATTCACGCGTCAAATTCTTTGTGTAACACCCTTGTGGGAAATGGCGAAGAACCGAAAATTCTAAATTAATTCTAAAAATAACAAAAAAAAAATGTATTCTCTGACAGTTCTTTAGTGTTAATTAAAACTAGTAAAATTCACTTTCGTAAATATAAATATTAGATCAAGAAAATATACAAATATAAATTAAAGCTAAATAGAAACATAAAGAAAACTAAAGCACATAACAAAACTACTAAAACTTAAACTAAAATGAACACTGAAAATATAAAAAATAATATATAGTATATAATAATAATAATAATAATAATACATTTTATTTATATTGCGCTTTTCTTGTACCCAAAGCGCTACAAGTACAGTACAAAAATAAATACATAAAAAAATAAATAATAATAAGATACATTAACATACACCAATTAAGAAACAAACACCTTCTTAAAAAAGATGGGTTTTTAACAGTTTCTTAAAACTCGTTAATGTAGTAGCATTCCTAACCGTTAAAGGAAGTGCATTCCACAACCTGGGGGCTGCCACAGAAAAAGCTCTTTCATATATATAATACTAAATACATCACTGTTCTCGGGTTCAGCACCTTTGATATTGACGTGAGCTTCTCTGGACACTGTGAGGCCCTTCTCGTTGTGAGCTTCACAGCTGTACTGGGTGGGAGCATCAACACCTGCAGACAAGAACAAATAAAACATTTTCTATCTCACTCTAACATGCAGATATTAAAACTATGGAAGATCGGAGCCTGTTTGGGAACAATAAATGGTGCTTGCTAACTATTATTATTACTCATGGTTTTAAGAATTATACAATATTGTTGAAAAGTTTGAGGTAAGTATGATTTTACGGTGACCAGGAGGGGACATGTTCGGTTCACTTAATTTTGTCGTGGCCACAACATATAAACTCGTGGGAACGTGATATTAAGTCTTGGGTACGTCATAAGTGAAAGACACCTGAAGCGCATTCTTAAATTGGATGGGCTTTTTTGCCCCAGTCTTGCACTGGCATGAAGTTGGTTTGACGTTGGACGTTCGATATTCGCATTTTAGGGACCGTCTCAAAATTACATGCGACATTGGCATAAACGTTTCCAACCTCAATAGCATTTGAAGACAATGACTTAGTCATAAAACCAACTGTACATTGTTCACCCAGGTCTCATGTATGATGCACACCTTTTAGATTTTTGATATTTATGACAATAAACTGCTAAATCATATGCAAATAATGTTAAGTATTTCACTACTGTCACATACCTGACACCTAGATGAACAATGTACAGTTGGTTTTATGACTGTAAGTCATTGTCTTCAAATGCTATTGAGCTTTAAATATTGTCATATTTGGTATATGATTCCATACAGTAGTGCAATACATAGCAATATTTGCATATGATTTAGCAGTTTATTGTCATAAATATCAAAAATCTAAAAGGTGTGCATCATACATGAGACCTGGGTGAACAATGTACAGGTCGTTTTATGACTAATTAATTGTCTTCAAATGCTATTGAAGTTGGAAACGTTTATGCCAATGTCGCATGTAATTTTGAGACGGTCCCTAGGCTAAAATGCGAATATCGAACGTCCAACGTCAAACAACTTCATGTCAAGAAATTAATACTTTTATTCAACAAGGATGCATTAAATTGATCAAAAGTGACAGTAAATATATTTATTATGTTACAAAAGATTTCTATTTCAAATAAATTCCGTTCTTTGAACTTTCTATATCCCGAAAATAATGTATTAGTTTCCACAAAAATGTGTTCAACAACTGTTTTCAACACTGATGATCATAAAAAAAATGTTTCTTGAGCATCAAATCATCATATTAGAGTGATTTCTGAAGGATCATGTGACACTGAAGTTGTTGAGTAATGATGCTGAAAATTCAGCTTTGATCACAGGAATAAATGTCATTTTATAATATATTAAAATAGAAAGTTATTTTAAATTGTAATAATATTTCACTGTATTTTTGATCAAATAAATGCAGCCTTGGTGAGCAGAAGTGACTTCAAAACATAACACACATACATACATAGCAACACATTAAAAGCACTAAACTGATCTGGAAACCATCCACAGCAGCGTACAATCTTGGCTGTGAGTTTTGCACAATTATGCATCACTTACATTTTTTTCAAAAACTGTAAAGAGATATTATTATTTGGTGCCACTAATGGTCCTTAAAATCAAAATAATAGTGATCCAGGTGACTCAAGGTTTGCATCAATCGTGGAGGTCGAGCACATGCAGGACTGCGTAAAGGTGATGATACACAGGGCAACTTTTTGGGCAATGTTGCCGTCAACGTGCAACCAGAAGAGACACAGGGCCCACGACTGATCTAAATTATCCAGATAGAAATGTATTGCCCATTTTCAATGGCAAAGTGCCCAAGCAACAATCGCTCGGCAAGATTGCCCAGCAACATTGCTCAAAAAGTTGCCCTGTGTATCATCACCGTAAGTTTCACCGCCAGCGTGTCTCACAGCACGAGTCTTTCAGTGCCACTCCACGCCAACACTCCAGTCCCACTCTGACACAAGCACAACCATAATATCCCTTTTGTGCAAGTGCATTTCTGCCCATGCCCAGAGACTCGGTCACAAAGGACACATTGCTTCCCCCATTGGAGCTGACAGGAAGCTACTTGTTTGGTTGTTGACATGTTTCTGAGTATCAAACGTGTCTATCTCTGACTGTCAGCTCGCGCCACAGTGACTGAACTATGCTATTGAAATGCCGTCTGGAAAAAGATGCAAATTTAAATAATAGATGGCAGTATTTAATTCACTGTAGGAATGATTATGGGTACAGTCTGGACTTGGAAAAGCAAGGTTTCTTGAATACAAAAGCTCCAGTATTCCTAAATTATAACTAATTTACTGAAACCAACTCACAGGGATTTTTGAATTATTTTTGAGGTAGACCTTCATCAAGAAGACAAATGTTCAGACGTTTAACCTTTTTCTTGCCCTTACCCACAGAAGAGGTACAATATACAACATTCAAAAATATTTTAAATAAACCATCCCTTTGAAACTAATTAATTGCAAAGAGTTCCTATATACGAGTATGGTTTTGAAAAGCAAATGGACTTTAAAAAAAACATTGTCAGCCAAATCAAATGCAAGATACGCAGAGGAACATTTTGTAAAGTTAAGATCATATTTTTAGCTTCAGTTCAGCAGAAAAATGACAGAAGAAGTATACAAATGGAGTCTCTCTCCAAACACCTTTTCAGAAATCTGACTAAATTTAGGCCATTTGCAAAGAAAGAAAAAAAAGAAGAAGAAAAAAAAACTATGAAAAGAAACCGACTTGCATGCGAGTAGGCTGGACAGATTGCACGTTGTACGGGTGCCAGGAAGAGTCCATTTTCTGACGACCTGTAATTATTGGGTTTGGAGAACAGCCATGCTAGCAGACTCTGCATACGGATCCAGCAGAATCTGAAATCACTCTGGTACAGGGTCTACTAACAAAACACTAACAAAAGAGTACCAGAATGAAGTTTTCTGGGTGTATTCACACCTGCCTTGTTTGGTTCGATTGAATCGAACTCTAGTTCGTTTCCCCCCTTGGTGCGGACCTTTTGGGCAGGTGTGAATACAGCAATCGAACTCGGGTGCGGACCAAACAACCGAACCCAGACCCAGCTGAAGAGGTGGTCTCGGTACGCTTCCAAACGAACTCTGGTACGGTTCGTTTACGGTGTGAACATGAACCGACCCAATTGCAAGAAAGCACTGCGCCTTTGAGTTAACAGGCTTCCGTAGTCGGAGTTGCGTTATGGGAAAGTCATCTGTTGTAGCCTACTACATTACATCTGTTGCGCGTCTTTCTGCGCGTCGTGTGTGCATCATTGGAATGGAATGAATGAGTGAGTGTGTGCATCAGGACATTCACATACAGAGCGTTCTCTTTAGTCTAATCGCGCATAGATGCAAAAAAAACATTTGCAGTTCATATAATGTAACGATAGTTACAATACAAGGATGATGCTGCGTTAATTTACGTTATGCCTTTTTTGCACTTCCTGATTTCCCTACTTGAGAATCCTTGTCCAATGAATGGACGACCTTAGCACACGTGTGGTTTTGTTTCCAAATTTTGGTGCACTTGCAAAAAGAGCAGTGTGAAAGCAAACCGTACCAAAAAAATAAAAAAATTTTTTTTTGATTTGGTCCGGACCAAAGCAAGTGAACTATCGGACTTTCCTGGTGTGAATACACCCTAAGTATGCACCATGGTAATTCTTACCTGTTCTATGTACCTTGAAACAAATAGCATGGTATTATCTATCTAATCTGTCAAACAACATCCATGCAGCTAGGGCTGCTAAATTAACTGAAATAAAACCGTAATCGGATCATGGCTTATCGGATTATCAAATTGCAGAGGCTGCAGTTTAGTTAAATCAATAATATATGCGGGGTGTTTCAATGTGTTCTTCTACTCACACGCAGCTCATGATCCAGTGTTTGTAGTGTCTCTGAGCTTCACATGAACTCATCTCTGCATCTGCTCTGAGTGGCTTATAACATGCATTTGGAAACTCAACATGCGCCAACCGTCTTCCCGTACTTGTAAAGAGAAGCACTAATGAACAGTCACAAATGACGTTACATTGGTTAAAATTGTGAATTTCTCTGGATTAAAAATTTGTTGAAAATATTTGAGATAATGCAAGTACACAAGTGAACTGTGCAAGTAGTTTTTGGATATTTTAATGCAAAAATCTAACATATTGTGCCTTTAAATGTGAAATTTTGAAGCATTTTCAGTATTTTCTTGCAAAACTTATTCCAATCATCTTCGTTTTAACAACTTCTAAAATTCATTCATCCACCCAAAATAAAATAGCAACACCCTTGCGACCATCCAACCACATTTTATTTATTTCAGTTTCAGACCAGTTTGGAATATTAAATCTGTTGTCTAGTTGATTTGTTACTGGGAGGAAGTGACGCATCTTTTACATATTAAATTTAAAGTTTTGAGTCCGTATTGAACATATAATTGCATCCAAACACAAGTGTAGCTGTGTTTAACAAGTTCTGAAATGATTAAGCACATTTGCAGTGGCTGAAGTTTCATAATGGCTTTACCGAACTCAGCATTTGTGTGGACATTTTGTAACTTGAGCAGTAATTACTGGCTAGTCTTCACGGGGGAAACTGTCATATCCAGCTCTAACTAGTTCCCTCTTAATGGAAACACACATCACAGCATCCAGAGGGAGAAAGAAAGTGTTTGTGTGAGCGTTACGTAATGCATCCATTGTGTGGAGAAGGACAGTGAGCCCAAGTTCAACATGGAAAATCAGAGGCTTTCTGTGTGAGCATTGTTTAATCAATTCCAGTAAGAACGACACTTTGAAGGAGAATTGGGTCGCGTTGTGGTTTTACCGCAACTTTTGAGTCTTTTTGTCTCATACATGAGAGATGAAACATGCACGTATTAAACAAAGAAATGAGCATATCTGATCTTGATCTTCAAACAAGATCTCAAAACTGAGTTGATGTTTTTAAACAAGCTGTCAGATTCAGAGCCAGATAAAAAGCCATTTTAAACTTTGATATATAACCTAGATATAGAGAAGTCCTTCTAAAGGTCCAATATTCCTTCGAGATTTTCCAATGGTGTTTTTTAATTT